TCATCAATCTATCAGCTCATCACCATTCTCAACGGACGATTTATCACACTTTGTGGTCACAGAAATGCCCACACCCACCGATGCAGATATAAACAAGATGAATGTTGCCGCCCATCGCTTTTCTCCCACACATCTCTCTTTCTTTCCATCATATCGTTACTTCCTTGCTGGCAACTCCAAAGTCCCTTGGTGAGTATTATGATTGAGAGTCCTTTTGTATACGATCCATGTGCTAATACCTGTGATGATCTTTAGCGTCTCATTGTTGTCCTAGCACTTCCATTTTCCTTGTTGTCATTGTGATATTCGGCTCTTCGTTCAGCTGGTGTATCGCACACGATGGCATTCGAAACGGGGCGCTTAGTCTTGTATAGTTTCAACCCGAATCCACCTCTTAATCGCGTTCCGATTGTATACCTTGATGGAAACTATGAAAACGTGAGCTATACAAACCTTGGGTTTGGTAAGTTCTATCTTTTCTTTATTTTGCCATGCATATTAACTTATACAGAATCTATAGATGTTGATAACCTTCAATACATCACCTGGACTCAGGAAGGTAAGCTGTAATCATCTTGCTTGATGAACCATATACTCATGTCCCGTTTGATGTAGCTGCCTCCCGAAATGTTAGATTAGTTGGCATACTGTAGTGCAGCCTGCATGGGGGTGTTTTCACGTAATTGTGTATTATGGATTGGCGCTATGGGGCTGTAAGTTAGGCTTGGATCTTTTTACACTGGGAATGCTTCTAATAGAGTGACTTTCTAGTTCAAGGCTGTATCCACCTGCATCGCACATGAAATCCCAATGTTGTCAATGAAGCTGTATCCCACCGAGATCGTGAACTGCTGCAAGTGTTTATCGAAATACAACATAAAACAATGATCGATATCAAGTTTTATTTGCCCATCAATGGATAATACTGCCTCCAAATGATCAAGCAATATGGAGTACCACCTGTCGTCATTGCCATATGCATCAACAACAGCGCATCAGCAGTGACGGATATGGAGATAAGCGATGATGACAACATTCCCTTCGCGTCAAGGTACCTGCGCTTTCAGTATTTGTAGTTCAACTTGGGTGGAGGAGTGTTGAAAGGTATCCACATACATTGTCGTAATGCTGAATGTCGGCACCAAAGATCTCTTTGGCAAGGCGGAACAGGAGCTGGATTGTGGGGTCATCACGTCGTGTCATTGAAATCAAGGATGTTTGTTGCTCGATGAAGAAATGTGCGATATGTAGCAACAAATGGATACAATGGTGTTTGATCAAGGTATGGCCTGATGGTGCCAGCATTTAACAAGTGGAAGGAGTTGGCCCAACCTGGACAAGGGAGTGCTGCAGCAAGATGTCAGTGAAACCAATCAAAGGAAGCGAACTGCCCAAATCTTGGATGATGGATTGCTGTTCGTCAAGGAGATCGCAAAGAAGCATTGTCAACATGCATCATCATCATCATCGTCGCCATCATCTTCGCCATCATCTTCGCCATCATCTTCGCAATCGCAGCCATCATCATCATCATCTACATCAACAATAAGGCGTTGATCCCGCTAACGACAACGTTCTTCATCCACAAGCAGCACAGCATCCAATGATATTTTGCCATTAGTACATCACAAGAATGCCAATCGGGTTTTTGCTGACGCTTGGAGGAAGACATTTGGCGATGACATGGATTGGTCCAAGTTGTATAAAGTGGTCAAGGACATCGGCCTCTTTCAATCTTATAATTCCGCAAGTTCCCTTAAATCCTCTTATTCCCGTGCCAAATCCCAATCTACATAGCTACATACCCCTTCTTTTATATATATTCCCCCATTTGCTTATACATAATACCATCGATCATCATGTAATAGAATCCAGCGTCATTGCCTTCTACAAGCATAACAAACCCAAGCACGAATATCACAGCCTCGTTGATGCGCTGCAGGTATGCGCAATGATTTTTTGCAATCCCTCGTCTTAGACAGCTTGGTGGCAAGTGGCAAAGGACACAACATACTTACGAGTAAACCGAAGCACATTCCTTATTGCACTTCCAGACATGTATATTATGCCATCACAATAAACCATTTCACTTTTAACATCGCTGTACATCATGGTGATGAGTCGACTTAATAACTTGCTCAATAAATAAGAGCAATCCAATCATGAGAAGTATCGAACACGATGCTCGAATAGCAGGATGTAGATAAAAGATGCATCAGGGGACGGGTGATGGCTATGAGATAAGTAGGGTATGCCATGCATTTACGGCACTCTTTGTATTGATCATCATCAAGTCAACAATCCCGCGCTCTAAGGGTTTATGTACTACGTCCTGCTATGAAAGCAGTGATTTTATTTGAGACAAAGACACCGAATTGCTATCTACACGGTCCTTTGTTTTATAGGTTAAGCTTATTTAATGAGAGGGGTTACATCTTTGACGAGAGGCGCTGCATGCACTTTGTATGAGACCCATCGCTACAGCAACGGCACTACTTGAACAAGGAGCGGTGCTAAATTTGGCGAGAAACGTTACCTCTCCCGACCAAAGGCACTCTTATCATCGACCTATGTCAGTTTGCAATACAGCTCCACAAACATGAGAGATGTATTAGAAGATAGTACACCAAAAGATGATCTGAAGGGTTACCCTGCTGTTGTGACGAAGGTGGAAGATACCTGGACCTGACAACAAAAATTCAGAAAGCAGGATATCACCAAGGACACACAATTCCAAGTGCTCAATCGATTTTGTAGCGGGTCATCATCCAAAAGATGATTATGATTCACGCTTATGCATAATGCCATTCTCTAGTTTAATTCATTCGGCTATTACCACGTTCGTCTTAAGACATGTTGTTTTATTAGGATGTTGATACCAAGGATAATGCAACTACGTTTCCATAGAGTGGCTACCTTCAAACACTATAGTGAATGATCCATTGCTGAACCCGAAGCATTGGTGGACAAGAAAAATTGCTGCATAAAGTGGGGGATGATTGTGGCGAAAAGCCAGCATCGGGCGTCATTGTCCTTGTACTCTTTTTCCTGCTTTGCTATCTTTTTCTTCCAATGCAGCAACAGCAGCAACAGCAACAACCTTCACCTTCGACTGATTCAACAAACGAGGTCGACGATTCGCTCATTGCTGCTTTACTCGTCGTTGGCTTTCATCATGCCTATGGTCCAATTGTGGAATTCTGCGTACCGCCTTTACCGCAATACAATCATGAGGGAAGCAGCCAGCAGGATTCACTTCAAAAGCTTGAATTGCCAGAGGAATGGAGCTTTTTGCCTTTCCTTGCGTTACCTGGTAAGGTTTGCTATATGCACGTCTTGTTTCAAAAGCTCACCCACCACCTATGTGAGTATAGACGGGGCACACCAAAAGGACGAGGATTTTGCCTATTTCCATTTACCACCTGTTCCCGGATGGCCTGTTGCTTCGTCAACGTTGTTTGGTATTTCATGCAATCGACAAATAGCCACCAAAGTAAGTTGCTTTTAGGGAAACGCTGAGAGGAGAATAGGGACATTTACATATGGGATCATTAATAGGATTTACAAGTCAAGACCCCGGATATGACCCGATCAATTGTTCAAAAGGCAGTGGTTGTATTGGCACGTCAGGCAGGTCTAAATAAGATCCCGTGATGGGTATATACATGTTTCTAATCTTGGTATACCCTTTCAAGCCTATTTTTGGCCCATTACGACAAAAGTTGGCAGTCATTACATCGGCATGGTTTAATCAACGAGATTTTACGCAACTTGGGATCTTACACGTGAGTCCAAGCGAAAAGGATGGATGACATGTTATTGATCCCCTATCTTTAGAACCTGTACAACAACTTGAAAATGACATACCGTGGACGGATAGATGATTCTACGTTATACATGGGGACATCGTTACGAGAACTGGTTCACAAGTTTAAAAGCAAGACACTCGTATTACTGAAATTGTTACTGCTGGAAAAGAGGGTATGTATATGGCAAGTGGATAATGAAAAAGATGAGATCCTTATGCATCCATTAGATGCTCTTTTATGGCTACCCGGTGGAATGCTTGTGCACGTTTGAATATTCTTTGATATCATTAGTACCTGGTGAGTATAGTGCAATGGGATGTAGGTGACACATTACTGATATTTGGAGATGGGAGGTAGGGTTGTTAAGGTCATTGCAGGATTCAGGGGAACCCGATCTTGATACCACATCACAATTTCTACGAACAACGGAGCCCAAAGAATTGAGCAATGGTGACAAGGAGAGCCTTTTACGATTTATGGGATTACCATTGAGGCTTTTTGAAAAGGTATATACACAATGAGAGAGTGATGTTGTATGGATCAACTCACATAGCTTCATTCAGGGATCCTTTTTTCAGCCTTATCTTCCATTGCAGCAGATTGATATCCTCTCATCTGAAAAGACACATGCATACGTGGTTGGCACGACAAATCAGATATTCTTCCACCAGAAAAGCGACGCCCATATCGATGTTCTTGTCAATGTTAGTATAGACCGTGTGCTCGTTATGGCTTCTTCTTACAATCCTTTTGGTTAAGGTCGAATCAGGCACTATAGAATTTTACAATCACAAGCTCGAGAACCTTGTAAACCCTACATTGGCAGATCGCAGGTGGATGGAAAAGATCGTTCGCGTTGTAAACGATACATGGGACGATAAAGGTAATCTTCATTGTGACAATGCTGCTTTAAGTGCAATACTAATGCATCTATGGTTTATGGTAGATCCAAGCAGGCCGGTACAAAACACGTATCTTGGATCGGACGATTATCTAAGGGCGCGATTTGAAGAGTATATTCTATCGCTCTTATCCAGCATGAAGCACGCTCAGGACGCCAATTTAATACCGAATATGGAAAATGGGGAAGACGCATCTCACGAAGAAGTGATGCCTGATGATGACAGCCGTAAGTTGCGATCGTTGCAATGTTTCATCAGCACTAACCTCGGGGACATAGAACGCAACTACTTGGTTGATTATAGCACGCGATGGCTGATGGCATGGCGCGAGACCAACAACTTTGCTTTATGGAACAAATATACTGATCATGAGATATACGAGATTGTGGAACCAGGGTAAAGTTGTTTTGGGATGCCATATACGCATAGCTAATTACCACGTTAGGCATCCTGGCATGGGCAACATTTCAATCGTCGATATTCAAAACACCTTATCAAAGTAAGCGATATATAAAGATCATGGCAGCAATTGGTACCTAATCAAGACTCTTTAGTCGTTTCCGAGAATTGCAATTGAAACAAAACTTGGCACCTTTACGACAAACGTTATCCCGTGCGATGTCAGGTGGTGCAAAAGCGTTTTCATCTGGAAGGTCAAAGCTGTTCAAGGGCATGGATAACTTTTGGAATGAATTTGAGCGAGGTATCCAAGATGGTGACTCTCCCAGGCGTTCTTCAGCTGACACAGCCGAGTTTACTACCAATGACGGCCAAAGTACGTTACACGCATAAAGAGGCGGGGGAAGAAAATGATTGATGACATGTGAAATCTAGGTCAACGATCCATGGCTGAAAGTCGAAGGTGGTCATCCTTTATGGAAAGCCCATCACAGCAACAACAACAACAACAACAACAACACGCTGAAACCGCAGGACAACAAGCGGGTCGTTTATTTTCCAACTTTTCATCGTTCTTGAACCGAAAGCAACGTGAGATATCTCAAGCTATGGAAGTATGTATAGTAACTATGTTGCTATGGAAACACGATGATGCTCATTACGTAATATAGGCTTCCAATTCTCAGTCTGATAACAATACCACGCATAGCCGACCAACAACAACGGGTGGACCAGCTTCTTCAGGGCATACGAGTGATGACGATAGCTCGGCTTTTGTTGATGTAGGCGCCATGTTTCCCTCATCTCGTGCTGTGGTCAAGGCTGGCAATGAATCAGATAACAAAAGGCATCAAGGAACGGCATGATTCAAAGTACTGTAATTAGAACTGTAATAGTTAATATGGTAAAGGACATCCACATCATTAGAATAAACATTACCTTGTCGAGAGTTCAATACAATTGCTGGCTGCTTTTGGTGGTGATTAGAAAGTGGGGCTTTCGTGATTACGAATGTATTAATACGCACACGTAACGCATTGATGTACATGGTGATCGCGAATATAAAGTTATTGTGATACATCACACGATGTGAATGAGACCTTTCACCACCTTGAATGAGTGGGAGTATTTAATGCACGGAAAGCGGGAAGCTTTTGTCAAGTGGCTGAAAAAAATCAATCGGGATTTCGTTCCAAAATGGGCAAACACCGCAAACCAACAATGCACACGGATGATGGAATTCACTGAAGGTAATGGTAAATAGAAGTGGGTCCGTGCGAAAAAACAAGAGCGGTAGGAGTGATGTGGGCTGTGTGTGTGAGAGCGTGTGTGAGAAGGTCGTATGCATCCCAAGAAAAAAACGTTATGCATGAGAAAATAAAAACATGGCTAGGCCGCTTTTGTTTCTTTTTTTGCCTCTCTCTCTTTCTTTCCCTTTTTTTTACCCACAAACCCCATATCCGCTGCATCCATCCATTACAAAAACATGCTCTTTGCTACATGCAACAAACGTCTTCGAGAAGATGTCGATGAACCCGAACCAATACGACGACGCCTGATCACCAAAAATACAATCCATGACATGACCCTCAAGAGCTATATGCAACACAACGACAGCTTTGCCGACTTGAGTATATCCAAATTGTTGAATCATGCAAGGCATCTTGTGTTGTTTTGTTATAGAAACGACTTGTACGTAACACAACAACATGATGCTCCAACTCCTCCTTCGCTGATGATGCATTACTTTATTAGTACACCACAAGCGATTCAAGACATAACCGATATCCAGTAAGCGCGTAAAAATGTGTAGAGTTTATATACATGATGCCAACATACATGATCGATTAGAAACTATGCGGCACAATTCCTTGCTCTTGAAGCTGTGCCACTCGCATTATCCACAGATACCACCATGACCCATCGTGCCTTTGCACGATTATTACCACAACCCCTTGGTTTTCCCCTTGGTAAGTGCGTGGATCACTGTTTTTGAATCATCAAACTCATCATCGGCTCTATGTGTTCAAGTCTCAGACAATGTACGATTGTTTTGTAACCATCTCGGCACCTTGGACAAAGAACATGGATGCTCTAAAAGGTAAAAGGGCCACCAATGGCATGATTGAGCCATGTAACTAAAACCATCCTCAGGGCCATTTTCATTATCAATCCAGACAAAGAAATTGTTTATTGTCGGCTTTATGATGACACGACTCCTTTTCATATTGACCCTTTGATTCAACACGTAAGTTTCATGGATGGCTTATATGTGCCATTGTCATCTCACATTGATAGATTAGATATCCTGATACGAATTTTATTGAAACAAACTTTGACGCTAAAGGAAAGAAGATCAAGAAAGCTTTACGTTGCGAAATATACAAAGTTGTGTATGTGTGTGTGAAGGAATTTTTAAAGGTGCAATGTGTAAAAGAAACGGCATGGCAATGATATTGCTATGTAAGAAAAAAAGAAGAAGCTATGTTTTAATTATAGAAGAGAGTGGGTATGGCAGTCTTCTTTAATAGTTGTTATGGGCAACGGATGCAGAAGCACGGGCCATTGAGCTGCCAGATGCATGAACCTTGAAAGCTGCTGCTGAAGAAGAGGCAGGTGCAGCAACAGAGCTAGCAGATGCTGCACGCTTGTAAAGAGCTGAAGAGGAAGCAGCAGCCGATGATGGGGCAGCCATAGAGCTAGCAGAAGCAGCTGAAGCCGATTCTTGACGCTTGTAAAGAGCTGAGGATGAAGCAGCAGCTGAAGAAGGTACAGCCAAAGAGCTAGCAGAAGCAGCTGAAGCCGATTCTTGACGCTTGTAAAGAGCTGAGGATGAAGCAGCAGCAGAGGATGGTGCAGCCATAGAGCTAGCAGAAGCAGCTGAAGCTGATTCTTGACGCTTGTAAAGAGCCGAAGAGGAAGCAGCAGCCGATGATGGGGCAGCCATAGAGCTAGCAGAAGCAGCTGAAGCCGATTCTTGACGCTTGTAAAGAGCCGAAGAGGAAGCAGCAGCTGAAGAGGGTGCAGCTGAAGCTGAAGCTGATTCTTGGCGCTTGTAAAGAGCTGAAGATGAAGCAGCAGCAGAGGATGGTGCACCTGAAGCAGCAGCAATAGAGCTAGCTGAAGCTGAAGCTGATTCTTGACGCTTGTAAAGAGCTGAGGATGAAGCAGCAGCAGCAACCGAAGAAGCAGCGGCAGATGAAGCAGCAGCTGAAGATGGTGCTTGACGCTTTTCAAAAGAAGCGGATGCAGATGATGGTGCAGCAACGCTAACGGAAGCAACAGAGGCAGACTTTGGCATCTTGTACATAGAAGAAGGAGCAGCAGAAGATTGAACAGCTGCGGCAGAAGAGCTTGCTGGTGCTACACTTTCAGGTTCGGGATTGAAGAGGTTACCAAAGAAATCAACAATGCCACGCTTATCATTAGCGTGCATGGCTGAAGCGGATGCTGAGGCTTGATGGAACATGGATGATGATGATGCAGCTGAGGCCGATTGACGTACAGCGCTTACAGAAGCAGGGTAAAGATCCATGGGTTGAGCAGATGCCCAAGAAGCCAATGCAACAGTGGCAACGGCAGTCAAAGTGAAACGCATGATGATGGGTTAGTAGTAGTAAGAAAAGAAAAGAGAGTAAAGGATAATGAGTGGATGTTTTGTGTGATATTCGGGAAGATGTGTCAATGCAGCTCGTAGTATTTAAACCAGTGGATGACCGGGAATGCGAGTCAAAGGGAATTTCTTTACGAACCAACCATGGACGTCTTTTAAAAAGGATTTGACAGCAGAAAAATGTGTCAATCAATGTTGTAAAAGAAAGTTCTCATTCCAAGAAGAGACCAGTTTGCAAAAATTCCCGTCATGTCGAGAATAAAACAAGCAAAGCATGTAATATGAACCAATGTTGTATCATCAAAGAGTTGCGTAGCATGCTCAAAAAGAGAAAGGGGGTGATGGTTGTTGTCAAGGGGGGATATCCCATCCAATCGATCAATCTCATTCGCGTTTACGCGGGAAGCTTGCTACTTTGTGAACTCAGCGAGTTTGCTTGGACAATTGTAATGGTCCGCTTTCAAGTCGTCGTGCACGTTAGTTGTCTTGGACCCATCTCCCCCCACCAAAACTAAAAAGCAACATGGTATGTCGATAACCACACTCTTTCTCTCGCTTTCCAATCAACTCAATGGCTCAATGTTCAACATTCTCTTCTCAAACTATCGTTCATCTTTCGCCCATCTGCGACTTTATACAACACGTCCTTGAATAGTCGAATACGCTACGTCCATATCTCACCGCCGTACGATCCTCATTGACAGCAGCATTGTGTCTCGATAACTTTTCATCTGAGATTGCAGAACGACATAACACGCCCGAAGTTGAATCTGGGTATAGTATTTTTCGCTTTCGTGTGGTATTCAATATAGCTGATATCACGATAGGAAATCCAAGGAGGTCTTGTTGAACCCTCTTACCATCAGTCGAAACGAAAATGAAAAGGTGTTTATCGAGCCATCCGTGAATTCCGTTCGTATTAGCATCAAGGTCAAGCAAGCTGATGATTTGGAACGTATCTTGTGTCACAAATTTGCCCGTTTCTTGATGATGCGTGCTGAAAGCTTCGTCATTTTGCGCCGAAAGCCAGTCGAGGTATGAAAGGATGAGGAGGACGAGGAGGAGGGAAAAAGATCATTATTCTCATTGGGGCTACTATTAGGGCTATGATATTTCCTTCTTGATCACCAACACACACACTGAGCAAATGTACAAGCACAAGCTCGTCGACTTTATCGTGCATTTCATGGAAGAGGTCGATAAGGAAATCTCAGAGATGAAGTTGAGCGTGAACACTCGTGCTAGAACCGTTGCAGAAAGCTACTTGGCTCAGGTATGATTATCAATCGTAGGGTGATGGATATGGATACTCATAGGTCATTTTTTGTAGTTTGCATAGAGGATGATTGCTTAGCTATGTCTTGGGTATAATAAACGGGATCGTAGTTCCAGTAACCAATATCAAGGAGTGGGGGGTGGGGATCGGGATCTTTGATGATGTAGTTTCCTTTTACCTAGTTGAATCCTGATACACGCACACACACGCGCACATGCACATAAAAAAAAAGTCCACTGTACCCAAAAAAGAACAATCTAGTGCTTGATGCCTTTTACCCCACGTTTATCAAATGGATCCGCTTTTTGTGTTACATGATGCAACATCATTTAACCTGCGCCTGCCAAGCTGTTTATCCTTCTTCTTGTGTCTCTTTTTTTTTCTAACCCCACTCTCACTCTTGTTACCACCATGAATTCATTGATTGAAGAAATCCTTGGCCCCTTGCAATACAACATTCATGGCGAAGATGCATGTCAAGACAAGCCATACAATGATGATTTATTACAAAGCATGGCGTTGGATGTCGACCATATGAACCTGATGCTTAGCAATCATGGCATGTTTGATGATATGATGTTGGATGACAAATTTTATCCTGATACAGCAACCACCACCACCACCATCAATGACACTACACTTCAACAAGTATTGATTGACGGCCTTACAATGTTGCCACCACCATCATCCTCATCATCGACCTTTGAAGAATCATTGACCTACATCACGGGTGATGGCGGGGAAACGGAAACAGAAGCAACATCCTTGGGGTATCATTCATCCCCTTCATTATCAAGTAGCGATCTTATGGAACTACCGAGTTCAGTTCTTCCACCCTCATCTCAAGAAAATGATACATGGGCATCTTTTTTTCATCATGAAGATGATGATGACAATGATAACAGCGATGAGGCTGCTGTAGTTCTACAACAACAAGAACAACACATGTCATTGCCGGGTCCGACCGTACCATCATTTACGACGACAAGCCATCCCGAGATGTTAATTCGAAACCGAGGAGAGGAATACACGGTCATCATCATGAGTGGCCGTGTTGCACAAAAGAGTTACGGGACCGAGAAGCGGTAAGAGATATGCTGATGATCCGTGAGAAAAATCCCAGGCTCCTGATTGGGTCCCTTTAGATATCTCTCGCCTCCACCCACCATTTTAGTGTTTGGTGGTCACCATCATCAGCATCCATATCCACCACCTCCCTCCACCGCCTCCTGCCGTATCACCACAGCGGATGAAGCTGGCCCCGTACGACATGAAACATTCTATCCCGATCAAGATCGATGTCTTAAATGCGTCTCCAAACAATTACATATTGCCGAACGCCGGAAGCAAATCAAGGTTTCTGTCGACATTCCTAACTTTGGTACCTTTGTAAGCAAACCTATCAAGGTCATTAGCAAGCCAAGCAAAAAGAAACAAAACAGTGCCAAACATCCAGAATGTAAGAGAATACATGTATGTGTGTGTGTGGCTTACGTACAAGGTCCTCATATTAGTTTTCTTCTTCATTTAGTATATGTTCAACATGGCTCAACCATTGCTTTATTCAATCGTATTCATTCACAAACGGTATCAACACGCTATCTTGGTGTCAACTTGGAAAAATCTACCAGTGAACTTGCATTCAATGCACGACCCAGCACGTGGGATCCATTTTTGATTTGGATTGTGGATAACCATGTCACTGGTGGTGTATTGCGTTATAACCAACGTGTGGTCTTGCAATGTGTACGCACCGGTTTATTGAGCCCTGTGATGATCATCAAGCGAAAACAACAACAACGTCGGTCATCATCAACGTCACCATTCACGCCTATTGAAGATAATGAACCTGTATCACAACTTCATCGCATCACCCTTGAATTGGTAGACCGACCCTCCCATTATCTCACGTGCATCAACGATACCGTCATGACTGCTGCTACAGCCACAGTGAATGATGATCAAGCCATTTGGACGATTGTGGGGACCGAATTTGCCACCTATTCCTTTTGGAAACCATCATCATCATCATCCTCAGCTGCCGTGGTAGCATCTCCTTTTCCTGAAATCACCCATGTTGAAAAGCAAAACGATCAAATCATCTTTACAGGCACAAATTTGCATGACGACTTGACTTTTTGGCTAGGTGACGTGCAATGTCCTATTATTGACACCAAGCCTGGTACACGTACATGCCGTCTTCCTCCCACAAGCGCCTTATTGGCCAGTCAATCACTCGTTGTTGAGAATGGCGATACATACAAGTTACCCATTTTACTCATGCGACAAGATAACGAAGGCATTGTTTATGGCACTGGAAGGCATTATACCATTTAAAAATAGCCCCCATCTTTTTGTATATTCCACACACAAGTCATCATCATTCCATCCCATCGTATATATATATAAGCAGTTGTTGTATTATAGAAGCAGTACGTAGTAGTAGTAGTATACAGTAAACAAAATTCAGTGATTCAAAGTAATTGGAGCTCGTCTCGCACCGACTCTGCTGTACGAATGACTTGGGATGGTATGCCTTACAAATGACGTATGAGTATACGTGTGTGTGTGTGCATATATGGCATGTATGTAATTTACCTGCAAGCTGTGCTACTTTGAGACCGTGTGATTGACGACATACACCTGGTAAGACACGATGAAGAAACGAGAAACGTCCTGATTCATCTTGGCGAAGTTCAGTCTTATAGCATTCCACACGTTGAAAAGCATCCTTTGGTTTGGCGGCAATAATGTGATCAGCAAGCTCGTGGTAGTGAGTAGCGAAAAGAGTACGACATTGGATATGATCATGTAGATAAGCAAGGATAGCGAATGCCAATGCACGACCATCTGCAGTTGATGTCCCACGACCCACTTCATCCATGATAACAAAAGATTGGGCTGTAGCGTGCTTTAGGATGGTAGCTGTTTCACTCATCTCCACCATAAAGGTCGATTGTTCCTCCGCAAGGTTATCAGCAGCACCCACTCGACTAAAGATCCGATCGGCAATAGCAATGCGTGCTTCACGTGCTGGAACAAAGGCACCCATATGAGCCAATAAGAGGATAATAGCATTTTGTCGTAAAAATGTACTCTTGCCACCCATGTTGGGCCCTGTCAACAACCATGCTGTATTCTCGTCGTTGAGGTGACAATCATTCTTGATAAAGGCCTTGCCTCCCAAAGCCAAATGTGCTTCCACCACGGGATGTCGACCTCCCACAATATGCATATCATGCGATCCATCGGCTGTCATCAAAGGTCTCACGTGACGATATTGCCGTGCCATCCATGCAAAGGAACACAACACATCCAATTGGGCAAGCGTACCAGCTGTAGCAACAATCGAGTCCGCTTGATCAAGCACTTTGGCCACCACCGAATCCCATACTTGGCTCTCAAGCTCAATGATACGTGCATGTGTGTTTTGTAATTGAACCGATAACGTTGTCCATTCATCCACTTGGTATCGATGCTTGCTCTTGGTTTGATTGACAAGGGTTGCGTCTGGGCAATGCGCAAGGAGCTTGGATGCTTGGGACGCATTGACTTCAACAATATGACTATAAATAGCATTGACCAACAATGATACGGATCGTCCCGCCACACTTTTCAGCTTTTGGTCCAATTGTTCACGTTGTTGATTGAGTCGTTCAAGGTCATTGTGAAGCTTCAAGAGCTCTCGATCGAAATGGGGGCGCACATAACCAAAATCAAATCCTCGTGTCTCGCATGATGCAATCTTGTCGTGATCAAAAGCGGCATCAATGGTGGATGCCAAAGAGTCATGTGGATCCAAATCCGTAATAAGGGATTGAATGGCGTCATTGTTGTTGGTGGTGGTGATAGTAGTGGTGAGCAGCCATGATCGAGCCTCCTTGACAGCTGTTAATGTCGCCCATATTTGCATCAAATCCATATGTTGTCCACGTCCCAAGGCAAGTCGTTGCAAAGCACGTTGAGCATCAGCACTCTGCTCCAACACATAACGCACCTGTTCCAAAATATGACGTTGTTGTACAAAGAATTCAACCACATCTTGTCGTCTCGTGATGCCTTTTAGTGATGTCAAAGGTGCCGCCAGCCATCGTGCTAATAATCTTGAACCAGCACTTGTCACTGTATGATCCATGGTGCCAAGGAGACTATTGGTCCGCTTCCCTTCTCGTAATGTCTTTACAAGCTCGAGTGATGCCACGGCTGCACTATCGATCTGCAATGTATCATCCATGTTGACACGTTGTGGTGGTAAAAGTCGTGGTTTGGTATCCACATGCGTCTCATCAATGTATCGTAATAAAGCCAAGCTGGCACCACATTCAGCTGCAGAGAATTTTGTCTCCATGGTTGTAAACATGTTGTGCAAGTAACGTTGACCTTCGCTTCCATCAAATACTGAATCAGGACGTGGTGTGATGGCTATGCTTGGATCAGCTGCCAATGTTTGCATCACTGATGGGTGTTGTAAAAGTGATTCTGGAATGATGACTTCACGTGGACGAATGCGGGCAATGTCATCTTTAAAGAGATCCAATCGTGATGATTGCAAATTGAACTCGCCAACTGATACATCGATCCACGCTAATCCAAGAATGGATCCATGAGGCCCAGAGGGTGCCACTGCCAATAGATAATTGTTGCTGTGGGCATCGAGAAAACGTTCCTCAATAACAGTGCCTGGTGTAATGATGCGTGTGATGCGACGTCGTATTGCGCTTTCTCCTTCCTTGATCCATTGTTCACATAAGGCTACTCGACATCCAAGTTGATTGACAAGCATATCCAGGTACCGATCCAAGGCACGTGATGGGAATCCAGCAAAATCCACAATGACACCACTCGTCATTTCCTTGCGTGTCAACTTTAAATCCAGTTGCGATGCATATTGTGATGCATGTGTTTCATAGAGCTAGTAACCAACCATTCATCCCATTTAGCATAGTGAATGTAGACTACTACCAACCCCCAATGCTTACTTCATAAAAGTCGCCTACTTGCATTAACAATACACAGTCTGGATACTTGCTTGTATACTCTCGAACGGCATCAAGGACGACTGATCCAGTGCATGCTAATCGTGGTTCAAGGGAAATGGGTTGTTGTTTGGTGGCATCGGGCAACAATGACTGTGGCAATGGTCGTTCTTTTTGGTGTCGTAATGACGAAGAAGACGAGTGATCAAAGACATCTTGTACAGAGCCACGAGTGACACGTTTGGCAAGAATGGGAGATAAATGGAAACCTCGGTGACCAAAAAGATATCGAGCCTGCTGCTGCCATCGTTGACATGATCGAAACATGAAAGAAAGAGAGAGCCGAATCTTATTTTTTTCTCATCTCAGTGTAATAAAATAGCATTGATTGATTGAAACAAAAAGAGCATGTCTTTTAATGAAAAGGCTTTTGTTACCCCTCAGATCTATGGAACAACTCTAATTAAAGGATAGTTGTGTTATGTAGGATCAGATAAGGTTCTTAGAACTTCTTGCCGAAAAGGATTTCTTGAAGGGCATCATAACCAGACAAGACACCAGCACCAGCGATGGCACGGAGAATGTTAGCACCGGCACCCTTGAAGAGAGACTTGGTACCTTCGTTCTTGACGATTTCCTTGAAGGCGTGGATGGAAGAGTCGTACTTGACAGCAGCACCAGAGGTCATCATCATACGTCTGCGGACGGTATCAATGGGGTAAGAAGCAAGACCAGCACCAGTGGTAACAGCCCAACCAAGCAAGAAAGAGGCCAAGAAGTTCTTTTGGAGGTTCTCAGGAAGAGCGGGCTTGAGGGAGTCGTACATACCGAAGTAAAGACCACGGTAGACAATGATACCAACACAAGAGATGGTGAAACCACGGTACAAACCAGCAATACCATCAGACTTCAAGGTCTTGCGGTAGACATCAACAAGACCGTTGAATTGGCGGTCTCCACCACCCTTGGCAGCCTTAGCATCGTTAGCAAGACGAGTACGGGCATAATCAAGGGAGTAGACGAAGAAAAGGGAAGAGGCACCAGCAGCACCACCTATTCATCATCAAAACCAGCCACCATTTCATAAATCAGTCACTGTATCTATTACCCCTTTTTCTTTTATCATAATAAAAAACTTACCAGAAGCCAAGTTACCAGCGAACCAGGCCCAGTAACCATCCTTCTTCTTGTCCTTGTTGAACATACGCTTGAACTTATCCTTGAAAGCAAAGTTCAAAGCTTGGGTGGGGAAGTAACGGATGATGTTGGCAGTGTTACCACGCCAGAAAGAGACAACACCCTCATCCTTCATGGTACGGGCAAAGCAGTCGCCAATGCCCTTGTAGGGGGTAGCAAGACGACCTTGCTTGATCATCTCATCCTGGTTTTGGATCAAGAGCTTGATACGCTCAATGGGGGCAGCAGCAGTCTTGGAGACGGCAGCAGAGACACCACCCATAAGGAAATCCTATTGTACATAGACACACACATAGGGTTAATAAATGCCCATAACAACATCCATAGCATGGATCAAGATGACTTACGATAACGAACTGGTTCTGGGACTTTTCGGCCATATCTGTAGAGAGGGGTTGTAAAAAAGGAAGGAAACAGAAGTTGCCTCCTCTCGCCTTACTTTTATTCTTCGAAAATTTTTTTTCCTTTGCAGCCCATCCCGAACCGCCTTGTTGCTATTGGATCAACTCACCCAGGGTCTGAAATCCGCCATTTTGTGTGACGCAGCTCTTTGTTCTTGTTGCTGTTGTTGTTATGAAGCATCATGTGAAAGATAAAGATGTCATGTCAATATGAGTATCATGTTGATGTCTTGACCCTCTTGGACCTGAAATCAATTCATGTACCTATACATGGGGGGTTGTTGATAAAGGGATGATCACACAACAGCCATGAGCTCATGAATGAAAGGCTCATTATCATTGGATATTTTTTTCTTTTACACATTTCCAATCTCCATTGACGATATTTTAAATGGTAGGATATACACACAAGGAAACAGGTTTAATGGGGGAGAGAGAGCAAAAAGTATACATATGGATGGAGATGTTCTAGTTCTGAGTAAGCATATCAAGGTCGATATCATACGAAATGTTGCAGCCACAGCTATTCTTTGCATTGGGATTGTCAACGACTTGGAAAGTGGATCCAATCAATTCTTGTACAAAGTCCACAGTAGATCCTCGAATGAATTGCATCGAAATCGAATCGACCACCACCTTGACTCCGTCCTTTACGAATACGCTGCATGAAATAATAATTAGCACACCTTGAACTACATCATGGACGATCATTACTTACGTGTCATCTTCTTCAAGGGTATGTGTAATTTCAATCTTGTTTTGATAACCATGGCATCCTCCTGAATCCACCAATATCCTCAACATCATGTCGGGGTCATTGTCTCGCTCGGCAATATATTTCAGTTGCTATCCCAAAAAGTGAGGTGTGAGTTCCCAAATATACTCGACTACTATTGCTTGCCCATGCATACCTTGAGAGCCTTGTCCGAGATTGTGAGTCCATTCTCAATACTGGCTTCTTTGGTGACATTGCCCGTGTCGGCGGCGTCATGGATAGGACGAGTGTAGCTCAATGATCGCCATGCAACGAATCGAGTAGTAGTAGTAGCAGCAGCAGGACGAAGTGGTCTCGATCGTGTCGTCAACGATAAACGAGCATTGGCACAATGTCGACGTGAAAGGTTGAATAAAAGAGCTGCTGACCTGAGCATTACAAATCAACGTTGTGTTAAAGGAAAGAAGCTGTGGAGCTGGCTGACCACACACACACCACAACTCCATAGCGACGACACACACACGGCATTCTCCGATGATGTCCCAATCCCCCAAATCCATATCCATCATAGATGAACCCATAAACAGCATCTCACATTTCCTTTGTAATGAAAAGCTGTACATGCATCACGTGATCCATGTGATATAATAATCAATAAAGACATCATCATCCATCATATTGCAGTACTTTCCCACGGCCACTCTACATCCCCATCTTCATACATCACGTGAAACAATGACACAACAACGATTCGTATATGAGGAAAAAGACAATGCGTGAGATTTTTAATAATGAGAATCTATGTCTATGATCTATGCAAAGATGGGAGGAAAAGAAGGAGGAGGAAGAGGAGATAGACGAGGGAGGAAAGGATATGATATGGTAATAAATAGGCAATGCAAAAGAGGTATGGAATTACAGCTTGTTGGTTGCTGCAGCAGCAGGAGCGGTGACGAGTGCACGATCATGCCATGCAGCATGCCATTTCTTGAATTGCTCAAGAACAACAAAAGTAATGATCGTTTGGGGACCAAGACGAATAAAGGCAGGTGTCCAACCCTTGAAGAATGAAGCAATGCCTTCTGCCTTGTACATGTGAGCCATAATAGACAAAGCCGACATTTCAGCACCACCTGCTCCTGCCGACATGATACGTGTCTTGATTACATCAACAGGCGAACACACCGTAGTTGCAACCAAACCCTATAGGTGATCCACACACACATAAGAATGCCATTCCCTTTTCTTAAAATCCTTCAACAATACATACCGCAAGGATACTTGAAGAAAGATGAACAGCCAAACCATCTTGCAATGGGCTATAACGAAGCAATAGATCCTTGAAAACGTCATAGGAAACACATTGAGAGGAAGTCATCAAAATAGCTCTATTGACATTTGGCCCGACACCACGGAAAAGCGAGGCAATGCCTTCTTCACGAGACATACGCACAACACCATCCAAAGCATGCTTGTAGTTTCGACGTTGATGAGGTGGCAATTGACCATCGTTTTGCATACGCACATTGACAACATCACCAGGGTTGCCACATGCACCACCAAGAGCACCTGCCGTACTGGAGCATGCCAACAAATGCCATACCGTTGGACCTTTTTAAGAAAAAGCGGGGATTAGAATTATGCTGTTGTTGATGCTTTCAATTGAGACTCACTGTCTGTGCGCTTGTTCACAATTTGCTTGAGCTTATCGTAGACACCAAAACGTACAGTCGAATAGGTTGCTTGTCGCAAAATGCTGGCAGACAAACCTGCATACAATGCCAACACACCTTCATTCTTGGCAATACTGATCATGGTCGAAAACATGCCACTTTGTGCTGAACCCTTCATGGTTTGTAAGCGCACCTTGGTCAAGTCAAAAGGGTGGACAACCATTGCAGCAACGCATGAGGCAGCACCGCCAAAATAAAAAGGTGTTGATCGCTTGGTGGTGGTTGACATGGCTACAAGTGGCCGAGCGGGAAGAGTTGGGAAAAGTGAAAAAAGTGATAAAGAAAAGAGTAGAAATATGCCAACCAAACGCATTCAGGAACAAAACTTTTTTATGTTTCACTTTAAACAGCGCAGCCCATCTATCGCCAGTGTTTACCCGCTATTTCCCATTTCCAGTCATAGCTCTTCCTCATCATCATCATCTAAAAAGTCGCTTTCTGCAGAATCATACCAGCTATTGTTGTCCCTATCAGTGGATCTACTTTTTGTGAAATGATGCATTGATTCAACTTACAAGTTTTCATCTTCTTCAATCTCTGCTGGAGCGGCAATCATGAAATCCTTTTCACTTTTCGGCATTTGGAAACCAGGGGGGATATCCTTCTTGGACGCTTCTACTTGGGCTATATGCACGAGACGAATATACCAATGATCAGCGGCACGAGGAATAAACACGGGTATCCACGGGTGGCACCGATTACTTACTTCGGACTATGCTATCGAATAATTCACGATTCTTGCGATATGCTACCTACAACACTCAAGCGTTAGCTCGGTCTTTTTCTTTTTTTCCTTTCACCTCCCTCCCTCTCTCTCTCTCTCCCTTTCACGCAATAATACTCACTCCTGCATCAACATTGGCTGGGCTTGAACAGTTTGGATCAGCAAACAGTGAAACAATCGAAATAAGTACACCTGTCAAAATGCCAAAAATTGAGTCCCACGCTTCTCTCTCTTTTTGCTACACACTTTTGATACTCACTTTCGACAGACTGATTCCAAACAAAAGTCATGGCATGGATGTTTGAATGTGAATAAGTAGAGCCTTGCATTCCCTTATCTCGCTATCTCTCTTTTTACCTGTGTTGGATTCCATCGTTCCTAAAGCAAATCGCCCTTGTTCAATAACCCCAATTCGATGCAATCATGCTCTGACAATACTCACCTCTGCCTTTTCACCACTGACGGGATCATCGCCTGGTGGATGTAAAATCGAAATACATAATCGGCCATCAGGGTAAACTAGATAACACCAGAGCCGTGAGCAATCCCATATCATATACACACACAACGACATGTAACATAGCAACAAAGTAACGTAGCAACAAGAAAAAGCAAACGTACCATTGGGGTGATAGAAATCACGGTTGAAACGGAATGTGGGTGGGTTGAATGGATAGTCTTCTGGGAACGACATGGTGGCCTGTTTGTTGGGTGGTTGAGATTAGTGTCGACGACGAGTGCATGGAGCCCATCTCTCACCCCCTCGCTTTACCTTGAAATAGCCGCCTTCATAGATAGTCTTTGGCGATCCGATAATGGCAACGTCCCTAATGCACTGCTTAGCGTCTCATGGCGACCTGCGAAATAAAGGGATGGGTGTACCATTCGAAAATGTTGTCATTCTTGAGATCCACCACAAAGCCCGGAACGGGGTGTCGTGTAAGTTCTAGATAGATGATACATGATAGGCCGAGTTAGAGATATAGAATGATAATAAATGTTTACAAGTTGGAATAGAACCATGCCTTTGTATTGTCGTTGAAGAATACTTGCAGCGGAAGATGCCATGATAGTCAAAGAGAAAGCGAAGGGTTTGGGGGAGTAGAGGAGAGGTAAAAAGAAAAAGAGAGAAAAACGGGGTATGTGGTGTGTGTGTGTGTGTGTGCGTTGAAAGAGCCACTAGTGGCGATCCAGAAGTATTCGACATAAAAGGGGAGGACGAGACAATGTGACTTATTTGCACACCTTGATCCGACCCTGCACGGGTCAATCTTCAACGCATACACGTGTCATCCTTGGTTATCATCACCCTTTGGTCTTGTAAAGAGAAGAGTGAGAGAAAGAAAGAGAATACTATCAAAGCGTTGCCGTCGCAACTCATCAACCCACATGAAGAAGAGGAATGAGGGCATTATGCATCATGCAGCAATGTCCTTATGTAGTACTACCCATTTCTTTTTCTTTCATATCCGCATCCCATAAACCATGAATACCATGGCAATGGTAAGTATCATTCTCCTCCCTTTATGAAGCAGGATGACGTGATGTGCATCTCAGCGTCATAACAATACAGCAGCAAAGGAAACAAATCATGCATGCATGCACCCACGTGTTTGCCACCAAAAAAATTGGAGTCAGCAACAAAGAAATGGCATGTTCTCAACAACCCAAATATAATAGTCCCTAAAGCTCATCAACACGTCCTTCAATTCTCAAACGCAAAAGGTAGTTGTACCATGTTTACTACCATCCAAAAGAACAAAGCTATCTTAAGGCATGGGATATCCAAGAGGTATGTGATTGCTCAATCTATCCATCATATCCAATAATACCACCAACTTGAATTTATTCTGGTAAAGGGACATTGTCATGGAATAATATGCAAAAATAAAATAAACGTGCCCATACTATTTCTTGAATAACCCCTTTTGTAACCATTTTGGCATGGATCCAGCTTTCTTTGTGGAGGCACTTGCGCTTGAATTACTTGCTGTACTTGCTGTTCCTGGCGACGAGACTGGGGATGGAACCGACGGGGGTGGCAAATCCTCCATCATGCTCAAATAGGTTTGTGTAACTGCAGGCACATCTGAATTCATTGTTTGGTTGGTGTTAACATCCATCCATGTATGGTCCACAACAACAACAATCCAATTACATACCACGTTGTCCAGGGGCAGCCTTTTCAATCCATACAAACGTGACATTGGATGCCGGTGCAAGGCCAGCCTTGTAAAGGGTCAATTCAGGTTCAATCAATTTTGATCTTGGAGGTAGACAAAGCAAAAACTTGCGACTTGGTGTTTCCAACGTGGATTGAACAAAGTCATATAAATCACGCACTATAGATAGATAGATAGATAGATCTACATGTCAATGACCCATATAATGCAATGCCTCTCTTTTATATATATATACCTCGCTCGCTTGATTTGAATGTCGCTTGAAGCATTGTACTATCAGGAAATCGTACACGAATGGTGGTCTTTGGATATTTTTTCATTCTTTCTTGTTCCTCGGCTACGCGTATCTTTTGTGTCTTGAGCGGCCTGGGTGGTAGTAGGATGAATGGATTATACAAAGAGGTGAGATCCCTATTGCTTTCAAAGCCGTATCCTTTGCATTACCTATTTTCCAAGTTCTCTCGACGCTCAACATGCGACTGATATAAACTCTTGACTTCATTGGGTGATAGCTTGTAAAAGGATTCTGGCAACTCAACTATAGAACTTGCCATTGGAGATTAGAAGCCATCGATCGGTTGGGTGTGGTGGTGAGCTGGTATGTTGGGGGACGCTACCTATCGCTGGTGCATTGGCTGGTGGCCGAATCATTTTAATCTGCCTATCGAACACAGGAGGCTCTTGTGGTGGAGGAGGAGGAGGTGTACTATCTTGCGATGTGGGTGCTGGCGATTCCATAACGGCTGTTGGTGGTGGTAGTAGTTGTTCAAGTGAGAAGGAGAAGTTGGAGAGTTGCTCTCGTGCTTCAATCGTCATCACTCCGCAGTTCCTTGCTGAGCAAATCCAGCCCCATCTATCTGTTCTCTTGGCATTGAAAAAGTCTCAGGTACCCTTCTTTTATGAGATCACACTTTCTATCATATGTAACATCGCATTCACATTCATATTAGATAAGGTCACCTATTTAGTGGATCCCCCTCAAGAATGCATCATACGTTCGAGAATGTTCATTTGGGTTTATGCTACATGTGGGTTGGTGACAAGTGGTCAAAGAATCCAACGAGTGGTGGTCTTCCGACAACACGTTCTTTGATCATCTTGCTGATACAATGTTGTTGCTATGATGGATGGTGTCATTTTGCTATTCTTTCGCTTCCGCATGCTCAAGTGGGTTGTTCCCATTTTGATACCGCTCCAAAAGCATGATTTTCCCATTTTGGAAGAGCTGGTCTTTTCACTCCCTTCTCTTCTATTTCCGCATTATCCCTTCTCAAAGTCAAACGTGGTCCTCTATCAGCTGCCTGTCGCCGTCGATCAGCCTCACTTCGTTATGCCAAACTCTCAATTGCGTTGATTCAAGTGAACAATGACCTCATGGCGTGTTTGCAAAGAGACATTGCTTCTTCCAAGTTGGTAGGTGGATATAGCTGCGGCTCTCTTTCGACCCTCGTGTTCTAAGACGCTTGACCACTTTATCAGTGATTGACGTATCAGCCCCATCATCTTCGACCTTGGGATCCATCACGCTTCCTTTTCATGCATCAACAACACACAACAATCACGCGTTTTGTCACCTGTTGACCTCTCGACTCCATCATCCTTCGATGTAGTATTCAAAGATGCTTGATTCATCAACTCAATTCATCACGATCTCCTTTCCTTGCATCAACAACATGCAATTATCGCGCATTTATCAGCTATTGACGTATCATATCCATCATCCTTCTATTCCAAGATGCTCAATTCATCATCTCAATTCATCACGATCTCCTTTTCTTGCATGGACAACATACAACAATCAGACATTTTATCAGCTATTGACGTATCATAACCATCATCCTTCGATATTGGCGTTCCAAGATGCTTGATTCATCAGCTCGATCCATCACGATCCCATCTTCTTGCATGGACAACAATTCTCACGCCCAACCACATATAAACAAGGCTGTTGTCACCAGCATTATCATCATCCATCTCTTTCGTCTATTTGATTGCATATCTCATCCTCAAGTTATCCTCCATCGTTTGGTGAGTGCCAATGCGTCCTTTTACACGTTTCTTTTCATTTGCATATTGACATGTGCTCAAATAGTGAAGGCGCAAGCATCAAGGACATCAAAGGGAACAACGCAATGCACAGCTATTTCAACCCAACATCTTGTGCTTGGGATCTACGCCAACAATCTGGGCGCAAGCTTCCGCATTCTTATATCGCTGGTGTCTCCTCTGAGCCCATGCCTCTCCCATTGCCAGTGCCCGTCGCCAGTGTTCTTTCGGAACCTGTGCATGGTCCCTCGTCATCTGATGATACCATCTTCGCCACCGCCACTCCTCCCACCACTTCTACCGCCACCGATACCCTTAATGATACCCTTAATGATACCCTCACTCATACCCTCAATGATACCATTACTTATACCACCACCACCATTACCACCATCCATCCTTGGGACTTGATGACCCACAGCAAGTGGTCAAAGTTGGGTGGCGCTCACACCAAGCGCGAATTCAAGTGGAAGAAGGAGCAGCTTGATCTCCTACAAGTTTTTGGTATGTCACTTTAAGCCTTACATTGATATGATTCTCACCTCTTGTACTCTTGATGGATATATACCTTAGGCAATGCAAGCCAAACAATGCTACGTTTACAACGTGAGGCTGTTGGGGCTACGATTAGCCTCAATAATGGAAGGGCCCTGAGCAAGAGGTGGCAGCTTTGCTCCAAGTAGTACAGCAATTGGTAAGCATGTACTCGAACAAAGGCTTGGGTTGAGTGTCAGTGTCTAACGCACATTTTCTTATGTAGCTGATCACGGTGGGTCCATCGCCTACCAACTACATCATCATCAAAGTAGCAAGTAACGAGAAACAAAGCAAGCTGGATACCTTGCAGCAAAAGGTGGATTGGGCTATAAAACCAGTAGCAGCCGAGGATCTCCATTTCGCGGTTGCTCATACAAGCGGAGAATGGTCTTCTGAGCAAGTCCATCAACTTGCCCAAGAAGTAAAGCAGTGTCTGCAGGCATCATCATCATCATCAGAAGCAGCAGTAAACGAATCATTCAAATGCAACAAAATTGCATTTCTCAATACTGACAACAGCCGAAGACAAGGTAAACATACCCAGCATGTACATAATCTAATTTATTTCACCTTTACTAATCACCCTTAAAGTACTTGGGGTAGCACTCCAAGATGCACATAGTGCCGGCCACAAAATGATCGGTATGTTTGTTTTGGCTCTTTACGATAATCCAAATCCATGCTCATTACTATGTGAATAGGTATTATCCAGGATGCCTTCCAAACCACCAAAGGCATCAATATGGAAGAGACGCCTCATATTACGCTTTTGAAGCGTATCAGCAACAAAACACAATCAGCACAATCAAGGAACGATAAGGTAGATGAAGTGGTCAAGGACGAGCTCCCAAACGACTATGATTATTTAGGCGAGTTAGAGATTAAAGAAGTCATCGTAAGCCGCGTGATCCAAGATATTACAACAAAAGAACAAAAGCACATGAATCTTGCAGTAATAATAAATTTATAATTCATTGTATACATGTATGAGATTTATGATTTGTTGTTCATTGTGCATGGTCCGTGTAATATCAAATCCATTCAAGATGATGAAGATCAGTCACATGAGAAGGTGCGCTTTTAACTGCTGTTAATCTACATTCCTATACATCTTTCTCAGTATTCATCAATGGGCTCTAATAAAGTTAAAGAGCATCATTGCTGCTCTCATTCATTCACACAAGACACTCTCGGATGCACTGACCACTTTTGGCCTATTAACCATACCATGGTTAACTTGAACAATTCCATACTGGCTATCATAGGCAAACCTTATGTACCATAGTAGAAGACCATGGCAAGGATCTATCATGCACTCTCCCGCCAATAGGATTGACCCTTCAAGTCTCGTCCTCAGGGGACTTATGTGACACACACAAGTGCTCCTGCATCTTTTGCTCTATTATAGTCATACTACTTTACATTAAACAAAGACCACTTCTCATATAGCATCACCCTTACAGCATATGTAAAACATAAAGGTGGCTGTATCTCCAAACTTTACAATCAAACGTGGGCTCTTTATAGATCAACGTGCTCGTCGGGGTCAAAGGAATCTTGTGTCAAAGTATGAAGTTCATCGTGGGCAATCCCAGATTTCGCAATGTCGCTACCAGCCAAACTGGATCCGGGGCTCAACCTCTTCGACGACGACCAAAAAAATATTTTTTGGGCTAGTTGCGACATTGAACGTGAAACTTTCACACAAGGTGCTGTTGGCCAAGCCGAGCCCATTGCTCTAATAAAAACCCCACGTTTCATTGTAAAGTTTGGAGATACAGGCACCTTTATGTTTGTAAGCGTGATGTTAAATGAAGAGTGGTCTTTGTTCATTGTCAAGTAGGTGGACCCTGGCAGAGCAAAAGATGCAGGGGGACTTCTTTGTGTAACTCAGCTACTTTGCATGGCTGCAAGGACTGATGGATTATACTTTATGGTCTATCCACAATAGTCCATATATTGTGCGCTATCAGCCATTTCCTCACAATCAGCGTTGTTGCAAAATCCGCTGCATGTGAACGATTCTCCTGCTCCAGCCGAGCATTTCCATCATTCAAGTTTCTTGATCCGAGCCGATTTGACTGAGCTACGCTAGAACAGCAAACATGTCAATTCTTGAAAGACAGACCCTGCGAATGTCTTCGTCTTTCAAACTTTTGGACGCTCCCATTCCAAATTTTCAAATGAAGCATAAAGTTTTTATTAGAAAAACGTTGATCAGCATGCTCGGAGCACCCTTCTGACCAATTTTCAAGTTGGAGGTGGGCAACTTCGGGGCGGTAGGCCGTCCGCTCTTTTGTTCCCATCATCCACCGTTTGGACCCTCCCACATTCAAGACATTCTTAATGAAGTGTATGGTTTTTAAATGAATGAAGTTGATCAGCATGTTGCAGCGAACCTTCCGACAAAGTTTCATGTTCGAAATGGGGAATCCCAAGGTAATGCATACTATTTCCATAAATCATGAATCTGGCGCTGACCTCCATTTCCGCCTTACATAGTAAACCCACATTATACCCTCCCATTCATTTTTTTCAAATGAAGCATGAGGTCTTTTTTTAGGTCAACGTAATCAGCATGTCCAAGAGCATCTTGTGTAAAAGTTTCAGGTTCGAGAGGGACATTCTCACTCTCAAGGTTTGATGTACAATGTTCATGCATTTATACAAGAGGTGTCCGACCTATTTAATTTCCACTTCTTCCCTCTCAGCATCTTCCCTCTTCCTCCCATTCCCAACTGTTGGCCCATTCAAGTATACAACTACCACCTGCGAACGATTGTCCTGCTTCAACCCACCATGTCAATCCTACAACTCGCTTGATCCGATTGTCTTTGACTGAATGGCAAAGCCCTTGGCATGTACTCGCCCCCAACACGCCTTTTTTGATACTACACACTGCCTGCCCACGATCGAACGCAACGGCATTCATTCCAGCAGTTGCTATTTACTCCATTGTCTCAAACGGCATTCGCATTCTTGTCACTCTACTACAACACACGCTCTTGCACACTCCTTTGCTACGACCAAACTTGACAGCAGCTGCCATTAGGAAAGTCTTCATTTCGTTGCCTCACGTTACCAGCAACAACCTGCCTTGTGGCCGTCATCACGTGAACAGCAAATAGCCATTGTACAGGAGCAGCTTTATTTACGTGTAACAACTTGCTTGGATACACACGGATTCCAATGGATGATGCCGTACATCAGCTATCAAGTATGCCGCAACACCTGGTTGAGCTGCGATGAACTGACCAAGGAAATGGTGGATCAACAGCAGGATGGAAAAGCAAGCATACCAGCAGCGATCACACGGGCTCTTTTCAACCACCATATTGGGATTTGCAATGTTTTTGGATGGATGGGTGCAATCAAGTGCAGTGATGAGGAATCCTGGAATGTTGCTTTGGCTACTTGTCGCGTTGTCAGCAGGAAGCATGGATCATGTCGCGTGGATACGGCTGAGGATGTTGGTGGGTTGGATGGCATTGGCGAAGGGGCTTATATCTTTGACGGAAGAAGGTGTTTTACAGCCATGGATGGCATTGGAGTACTCAAGGCAAATCATCCAGCAACTATTCTCCAGCAACCAAGAATGAAATGACACAACTATTCCTGTTGCCTCCGATGTGATTCATCCGGATCTTATTCAATTTGCAATGATGCTGCCCTTTATCGTAGTATTAGTTTATATACATCCACACTACCATATACTATTCTTTTACTTTTCATTGAATGAAGATTGGATTCAACGTAATATTTGGGATATCATCTCAGCTCATATAGGCAAGATATGGATCACTTGGTTGGTTTATGGATTGGAGGTGAAAGATAAATGTGAAGGCCGGAAAGCGAGATTCGATCATTTACGTTATCGTATCAACACGTTTTTCTCCCTTTGTCGTCAAAGCTTTCTAGCTCACTATGATAGGCAGTGGCAATTCTCAAACGCTTGATTTACGAGGATAATTGATTCAGAGTGATGATGCCCAACATAGTGCTTGTTACGTACTACGCTTGGTTCATTGTAAGCTTAATTCATTATTATGTTCGAGGAGTGAGCTGCTGTGATACAACGCGATACAAGTATATGAACATACCATGTTCACCTATACGTTTTTCATCTAACGTTATCCTATGCAACCTTATATAAGAACAAACCATTCCGTACGGGCTATCATAGGCAGACCTTACTACAGGCACACAGGGGAAGGGTAATCATGCACTTTCCACCAATAGGATTTACCCAGAAGTGTTGGCTTTGAATCTATTACACAAAGACGTCTCCTGCACCTCTGACTCTAGTATGAGGGAGGACATTGACATGAAAAAAGATCACCTTTTCCTTGAATATAAGGAATCAAGCTTACAATGAACCAAGCTTATGTAACAAGCATTTACAATGTTGGGCATCATGACTCTCGGATTTATCATCTTGCAATACAAGTGTTTGACCATTGCCACGCCTTTCGTCTATCATCAGGTGAACTACTAGGAAGCTTTCAAAAGCATCTCGATACGATGACGTAAATGATCCAAACTCGCTTCCCAACCTTCAAATTTTTATTCCTTCTTTCAATCTAGACATCAACCAAGTGATCCACATCCCTTGCCCATATGAGCTCATAGCATGACACCCCGAAAAAACATTACGTTGAATCCAATTTTCATTCAATGTAGTCGAATAATAGCAAATGGTAGTGTAGATATGATAAGGAAATAGCTGCCGCCATAAATATCATGATCCCTGATTCGACAATGGTTGCTGCATGATTTGACTTGGGTATTCCAATAGCATCCATGGCTGTAAAACACTTTTTGTCAATGCCAACCAATCCATCATCACCACCCTCAGCCGTATCCACGCGATATGATCCATCGTTCCTGATGACGACGCGGCAAGTAACCAAAGCAACATTCCAAGATTTTGTGTCACCGCACTTGATTGCATCCATCCATCATAACCATTGCAAGTCCAATACGAAAGAGCCATCATGCGATCGCTGCTGCTGATATGCTTCCTTTTCCATCCGGCTGTTGATTCATCCCTTTCCAAGTCATCTCCCATCGCAGCTCAACCAGGTGAAGATTGCTTGTATCGCGGCGCACTTGATAGCTGATATGGCATCATCCACAGGAACCCGTATGTATCAAAGCAAGGTACTACACGTAAATAAAGCTGCTTCTATGCAATGGCTATCTGCTGTTCACGTGATGACGGCCACAAGGCAGGCTGTTGCAAGTAACTTGAGCCAATGGGAGTAATGACCTTGCTAATAGCAGCTGGTGGAATGAGTGTTGTTACGTTTGATTGCAGTAGGGGAGTGTGCAAGAGAGAGTGTGGTAGTGGGGTGTATGTACACGCGACTGACCCACGTTAACAATCATAGAGCAAAGTGAATAAGAAGGGCTGTTCCCAGAGATCAAGGCTAACGGCCTTCATTCAATAGCAATCGGCAACAGGATCAAATGGCACACGACTCAAATTCCACTGCAACAAAGCAGCACGTAGTATGCTGCAAACAATGCGTCATGACGTTAACAAGCTTGCATGTAGTGATTCTTTAGGCACGAACCCACCTCCAGAAGCAGCTGACATGGCAACCAATACTCAAAAGCACTCAACCACGTACACTAGCCCACAATGCAATCACCATGGATACATACATACATGAATTATCTTTTCAACACATCGTATGCACACATTCTCATCATAAGACGACAAGTAGTCAAATTATAGATCATTCTCATTTATTCATTATGAACATTCATTAAAGACATATACTTAAGCATGTGGCTGTTAGTTTCCTTGAGCCAACAGACCCAAGTACTTACAGGGATGACCGCGTGAAGGCCGCCACAAAACCATCCCCATCTCATCTCTTCCCGATACTCCACACCTGCATAGTGTGGATTACAACCTCATATAATCACTCGCTTAACAACACAAACAACCAAACACCAAATCACTCGACCTAGCCACCGCGTTTATCGCGAGATCATGGGCCCAGTTACCAGAAAGCTCACTCGTCTCAACGACAATGAGAAACATCATCTCATAACCAACTTCGACAGACTCCGCACCGAGCTCTTATGCCCCGAATGCAACAACAAAGCTACTCTCTCACACAACGGATATTCCCGTGATACATACCGCCATCCTCGTTTCGCATGTCGTAAATGCCAAAAGCAACCAAATCATGACAAAGTACTTGAAGCAATCAAAAACCACTCCAACCAAACCGACACAGCGCCATCCTTGGAGAACAACCCCGCATCTGCCCCTGCAACTCAACCAGCTCCTGAAGAGAACACCACTATCGACACTGAAGAATACCTTTTCGACTCACCTTCCGGCAATTGGGCTGATGAAATGGAAGCAGCAGAACAAGCAGAGGCTCAGCATTTGAATTCACGGCCACCATTGTTGCCCAACCAACAGGAAGATCTACCAGCCACTGTCAGCAGCATTATGACAGAATTAAATTCACTCCGCTCCCAAGTGCAACAACAGGACAACTTACTCCGTGAACTCAAAACCATCACCGATCGCTTGACACAGGAACATCAGCATCGATCCATGCTCCCACATACAGCCAACCTAGCCAACCTACCAATAGCCAACATACCACTAAATCCACCAACCCATGGCACCAACCAGACCGAGTCAACCAGCTACGACGTCGACATCAACCTACCGAAGCAACAATCCAACGCCGTAAACAAGCTGCAGCTAGGGCCTTTCAACCCCTATCATCAACCCATGGATTTCAATACACTTACTTCTACTCCCAATCTCGCATACGCACCAACGCCGTGAGAGCCCGTTTTAGAAAACTCGGCATTGATAATGGCCGTGTCCTCGACATCCACTATCCTGATTATCAGGTATTAGCAGTCCTAACACACAATGATTATGTAGCAGAGCTTAAACAGCTTATGGCTGAACAAGGCATCTACCCAATGGACAAATTCAGCCCTGATGACCCAACACGCCTTCGAGATCCTAAATACAAGGACCTTGATAACGCCCAACGCCAAACCATTGCCACCAATCTCTATAAGCAACGCCTCCGAAAAGCACTCACCATCATCCGCATACCAGTACGCTATGCAGTTGCCCGAAGCTTTTATCGCCAAGAGCTCATCACTGAAGACAAACTCAACGAGATCCTTGGCAAAAAAGACACCCCACCACCTACAGCCTCCCAACAATCCCAAGCTGCAGCAAACTTCCAACAACCCGCCCACACCAACCAACACGATACCCAACAACCAACAACACCAGCTACCCCCAATCCCAATGACACCGATACGGCAATGACTGAAAATGAGCCCACAGAAAACAACGACTCCGATATACATGAGGGGTCGCCTCGTTTATGAAGGCACACCAACTGTCAATATCGCTCTTTGGAATGCCACTGGCCTTCCAAGAATCACAATTGATTACATACTAACCCATATAGAAACCACTAACCTTACCTTCATAACAGAAACATGGCTACTACCTCCACACCAATACCCTACACACTGGACCCAATATCACACACATGCAATCCCCATTAACGGCAGCAAAATCAGGGGTCAAATGGGACTTGCCCTACTTGTCAACCCTACCAACCCATATCCCGTTACCAGAATCACCATCCCAAATACCCAATACCAATCCTACACTATCTCCTGTACCCTTGGTGACTATCTCATACACTGCGTATACCTACCACCCTCCCTCCCTGATGACCAAGCTATAGACATCCTCAACTCACTTCCCCTCACCTATACTAACACCACAAACACAATCATATGCGGAGATTTCAATGCACGGCTAGGGCCTATAGTAGGCGATAATGCTACAACAGTGAGAGGCTATCGCTTCCGATCATGGCTTGACTCACATGGCCTCTACATCTGGAACGCTGACCTAGCAAAAGGCCAACCTACGTTCATTTGTCACAATGGCACTAGCATCATCGACCTTTTCCTTAGCACTCACCGACTCCTTAACCCAGCAATGGTAATACAAGATCAATTATCACTTGACTCGAATCACAAAATCACGCACCTCCAATTCGACATGCCATCTAATCCACCACCACTCACAACCCCAACCCCACGTCGACAATGGCACCTACACCGCTTATCTGAATCACAACCTCGACAACAATACATTGACCAATTTGAAAACAACACGCGAGAGCTAACGCATATACTTACTAATGCCATCTCCGATAGCCAAACTAACCCATCAATAGAAAGCCTAGCAACATCCCTCAACCAAGCAATATACGATGCTCTCGATACAACTATTGGTGCCAAGCCATCTAGCACCCCCAAGTCTCGAACAAAATGGTTTTGGACAGAGGAAATTCATAAAGCAATGGCACACCGTGAACACTGCTACCGCAAATGGCGCAAGGCCAAAGGCATGAACAAGGTCACTTGGTGGATCAAACATCAAGAAGCAAGAGCAAAAGTGCGACTCACAGTCAACACACGACGAAGACATACTTGGCAACAATTCTGCAACAACGTGGCCAATGGTGAATTCACCAAAGCCTTAGCCATTATCAGCAAAATTAAACGTAATCGCACACTTTCTCCTACTTTTGCTGATCCTGCAGGCCCAGAAGCAGCAGCAAAGCGAATGGCCAACCATCTACAATCGGTCTATAGTGGCATGCATATGCATACACATACCCCAGATTTAGAACACGTGCTACCACCAACCCATGTTTCCATTAACCACAATGATAGCCCCAATAGCTTTGATGATAGCCCTTTCACCCAAGACCAGATCGAACGAGCTATCAAAATACTGCCCACCAACAAAGCCCCAGGAGTGGATCATATTAAGAGTGAAATGCTCAAGCCCATCACACACTCACTCACACCAATCCTATTGGCGCTCTTTACTTTATGCTGGCGAAATGCACAAGTCCCTAGCTATTGGCGAATCGCTCAAGTCGTACCAATACACAAGAAAGGATCTCCCGATGACCCAGCAAACTTCCGCCCAATAAGCCTAACATCAGTATTCAGGAAATTATTGGAAAGATGCCTACTCCCAGATCTCACTACTATGGGCCCACCACTAGACATCGTCCAAGGAGGATTCCGCACACAACGAAGTGCACTTGACCAAGCCCGATGCCTCCATGAAATCAATCTCCTACACCGCAAGCAAAATGGCTCACCACCTGTACTTGTCTTTCTTGACATAAAATCCGCCTACGATACGGTAGACAGAAGAATAATCTGGCAAGCTCTTTCATCTTTTATTCCACCAACATTCTTAGCACTACTCAAAAACATGTTTGATGATGTCTTTATAGAAGTGTTGATCAGCAACCACACATCGCATCGTTTCCAACCAAGTACTGGTGTGCTACAAGGATCTGTGCTTTCCCCTCTTTTATATTCACACTACATCAATTCCCTCCCCACACTATTACGAGTAGCAGACAATGGAAATCCATCAGCTGACCCTCCTGCCCATGTCTCGATTGACGGCCAAAAAATCAACAGCTTACTATATGCCGATGATGTTGTCATCCTTGGTACATGGGAATCGATTCCGAAACTATTAGCCACCTGTGAACAACACAGCACCACTCTCGGCTATCGATGGAACCCATCAAAGTGTGTTGTACTATCAGAAACAGAGCCACCACCGGATCAAGCTGAGCTTCAACTATATGGCACACCTATTCCACGTGATGAAACCTTCTCATACCTTGGTGTCCCCTTTAAGAAAAATGGCACCATTGACACATCTCTACTGATACATACACGCACACAAGCAGCCTTGAGCTCCATGCGTATTCTACATGCAATTGGTTTACGCCCTAGTGGATTTAGCCGGCTCTTAGCATGTCGACTATACCGCCAATTCATCAGACCAAAGATGGAATATGGTCTTGCCATACACACAATACCAAGGAAGCTATCTACAGTACTTGAACAAGCCCAATCCAATTGCCTCCGCATGATCTATGGCGGTAGTGCATCTGCAAGTACACAAGTCATGTGCCACTTGGCAAATCTACCACGCATGGAGGATCGTATTACAATACTACAAGCTAAATTCCTAATCAGAGCTCACAACCTACCTGATGACAGCCTCCTGCACAACCTACAACCTATCATAAGGAATCGTAAAACACGAACGGGCTCATGGCGTAGTCTCCTTAGTACCAACACCATATGGAAAGACCTTTTGCCAAAACCAGCAGCGAATACCGATCGCAAGCAACTCAAGCAAACTCTTCGCCAATTCCTAACACAAAGACTCTCAGTGTACCGATCACGACGAAGATCCATATTGCTTACAGCATGTCGTCCAAACTTGGGAGTTGATCCTATTATGTGGATACCCATGTCAAAAATGGAACGTAGCCGATGCGTGAGATGGAGACTTGGCTGGTTACCAGGAGGTAAACCCACTGGATGCCCATACTGCAACACCAACAACAGAACAACCAGAGCACACCTTACCCAATGCCTACAAGTGCACCAACAATTGGCAGTGCCATCCAACATCAAAGATCCCATATCATGGCTACTCAATCAACTCCCGACATCAAAGCCCAAATCATCGGAGAGATGCCAATACTGGATAAAACAATGGCCACTACTTTGTACGCTATTACAACAAATGGACAACATACAACACAATACCATCCAACAACACGACAACACACAACAATCACACGGCCAATCCCTCATCCAATGGCTCGAAAAGGATACATCAACAGGAGATCATCATGGATCCCAAACATCTGCTACCTCGTAGAACCCATTTTCCTTCTCTTCTTTGCTTTTTGTTTTCTCTCTTTTCCTTTCTTCCACTCCTCCTATGTAGCTCTTTTCCTCCACATCCTCCATTTAGGATAGCCTAGCCCCACAGAACCTTTGTAAACACCCCATCCACGATTGAAACTTGTTGATCCCCACATACCTTAACATAGTAACCCCCACATCATACATCTTTATCCACCACCTTTTTCCTGTTGCACAGCAGGTTTTTTAGCACACTAGCACTCTGGATCGGGCGAGGGCAATAGCTGATATCAGCACGTGCTCATTTCGTCGCCATAATAAACTTGTCTTGAAGCACAAAACCATCCCCTCCTCTCCACATGGGGCACCTTCAGCATGTGTACAAACGAGGAGATTGCAAGTGGAGGGGGGGCACTTTGCAACCAAGGTGGGGTTGACATGCGTTACAGGCGAAGGATTTCCCAAAAACCCTACAGATCTCATGCCTCCCGGCGTGCTCTGTAAGTTATGTCGGTACCAATATGTCCACAACAGGGTACAGTGAGCCTGCGAAGACAAAGAGAAAAAAGAAACCTGCTGCGCAGCGCCTCGGCGCTCATTTTTTATCTTTCGTTCTCTGGCGGCGCTTGAATGGGTTCGGTGCCCCATTGTGCACGTGATTGTTATCAACAGGCCAGCCAGCATAATGCTAGCTCTTCCACACAACTTTTATTATTGACTTGCTCATTCCAAACGTCGTCCATCAGCTACTTGTCACCGCTGAACAGCTTCACTTCATATGCAAAACTCTCAATTGCATTGATTCAAGTGAACCATGACCTCATGGCGTGTACACGGCGTACTCCTTTCAAGGTGGTGGGTTATCGATATTGCAGCAGGCTGACCACTTTATTAACGCCAATCCATGAATGACTTCCTATAGATAACAAATCTCATGCACAAGCATGTATATGCAAGGCTCTTGTCACCAGCATTATCACACATCTCCTTTGTCTATCCTACATATCATTAAGATCCTGCTATTTGGTAAGTGCCCGGTGATTTGTATGGGCCAGGCTTAACTCATACCATGCTCTTTGTAGTCATTATCAGTAGCTGCTTAGCTTTATTACTGGTTTCCATGATGTCATTGTTTGATGATGAATATTGCCATTGTTTATCTCATGGTCTTCTGGTTTATGCATCGATATCCAATCACGCCAAGACTCTTTGTGCAGGCGCCCCACAATCTATCGTATGTCCAAATGCTGTATGCTCTTGCGAAAGGAGCTTTGTCACATCAAATCCGCGATGAGGAGGATACTCTCGACAAGCTTGTTGACGTATGCCACCACACAGGAACACAGTTCAAGAGAATCCGAGATGCTGCAGAAGCTGATCATGGCAACATGAAACGGGCGAAAGCATACGCCTATGATGGCATCATCTATACCGAAACACTCATCCAAAAAGATGCAAATGCCAACAAGCAATTGAAACAAGCTTATTCAACTTTTGTCCAAACCTGGTTTATCCCTGCTTCGTCTATTTAATGCACCACCATTATACACCCTACCCGCCTATGAAATCAATGTATATCATTAGCATTGAAGAAACATCTGTATAAAGTTCTGCATCATCATTGTCATCCACTTTCTTTATATCTATGGATCAACGTATATTGTGGTTGCTAGGTAACGTGCATGCGATTGCCCATACCGGCGTAATGGATTGAAAGACAAAATGACAGCTACTACCAAGTCGATGATTGATAACTTTCCATTCAAAGGCCCCTCTAATGATGGTAACTAATATTGAAAGTAGCAAGATACAAGTCCCATGCATTCAACTGAAGGAGGCCATCGCGCCACAGAAATTGTTTCTCAGTCAAATAAATTTTCGGTCGCCTGAAAAAGATTTACCTCCCTCTTTTCGACCAAACATAGCCATGGCTGGTATCACTGTCAAGGACGTCAACGCCCATGGTAGGAATGGACAACGAGATCTCTATCGTATCCTTCGTCATTGACCCACATTGTTGTTGCATTTAGCGTTCATCAAGGCCTACTCTGCTTATTTGAAGCGTACTGGCAAGCTCGAGATCCCCAAGTGGGTTGACATTGTCAAGACCGGTACTCACAAGGAGTTGGCTCCCTATGATCCCGATTGGTTCTTTGTCCGTGCTGGTAAATATCGCTCAACAATTGCCATAGCAACAACACACGTCGTCGTCATTCGATACGCAACCCATACGCTTTATCCACAATGACGACCCTATCTACACAACAGACTCTAAATGTTTTCTTTCTTTCTTCTACAGCTTCGGTCGCTCGTCACATTTACATTCGCAAGTGCGTTGGTGTTGGTGCCTTGAAGAAGGTCCATGGTGGTCGTATCAACCGTGGTAGCCGTCCTTCTCACCACGTTGATGCCTCTGGTGCCATCAACCGTCGTGTTCTCCAAGCTCTTGAGAAGATTGGTGTCCTTGAACAGGACAAGAAGGGGTAAGTGTTTCTTTTCTAGAGAGTGGATAGGGTGGATCATGTGCTTATATTACATGATGTAGTGGTCGTCGCATCACCCAAGATGGCCAACGTGATTTGGATCGTATTGCCATGACCCTTGTTGAGGAGGATGACGAGTAAATTGTATCATGATCAACACGAAAAAGAAATAATACACAACACGCATTGTTGCACGTCCACTTTAAAGTCTTTTATGCATGGCGAGAAACAGTATTGGATCAGGCTGAGGGATACCAAGATGCTGGGGATATGGGATTATTGGCTTTGAAAGGAAGGGGATGACAATGAGGATCATAATGTTTGTATGAGTGTGCGTTCCAGAAAGGGAAAGTCGATGGCATCTTCATCGAATCCACAAGTGTAAATGTTCCCGGCTTCCTTGTTTACCCTCCTTCGAAAGTTGGTGCGTAACACCTGCATTGTGTTTACGATCATCTATATCTTCCGGTCAAAAGCTAAAAGCTATAAATTCCCGAATGATAAAGACAATAAAGATCTTATTACTAGTGTTATGAATCCAAATTCGACTGTTTGCCACCACCACTGCTAAGAGCAACAACGGCAGAATAGTAACTCGGTTCTCTTCCTTTTCTTTTTTTTCCATCCGCCTCCCCCGTTTTACTAGTTGTTGCTTTCACCTTTCTTTTTTGAACATGATGAAAAATCAGCGATCATCTTTACGTGCCTCAATTTGGCGACGGCATGCCAAAAAATCATCTTTTGACCGCCATCGAGCGTGTCTACCTCCAACAGGTTTAGATTCTTCTAAACCCGTTGCCAGCAGCAATAGCGACGAACGCAATCATCATCATCAACAACACAATAATGATACCGACGTCATCCCTATCGTACTTGTCAAATGCAAGCAGGAATTGCTAACTCGTGGTAAGCATTCCACATGATACAACAAGAGCATACAATTCGACAACATGGTTGCTGAGCATAAGCCCTTCTTCTTTTTATGTGCAAGGATTGCATGTGGAAGGGATATTTCGTCGATCAGGATCCTCCGCAACGATTGAACGCCTGTTAAGAGAATTTAATGAAACCCGCGAACCCGACTGCATAGCATTGGACACGATCCCAGTGCATACAATTGCTGGTCTATTTAAACGCTTTTTGCAACAACTCTCCGAGCCCGTAATCCCACGTTCATATCAACCTGAATTCCTTCACATTTTTGAAAGTACAACAGGTAATAAGAAATGCTTTTCTCTTTCTTATGCAGGGACCTCGTTTCATCCACACCGACCCTTTTCTCTTACATGTAGATAACCATGAGAGACGCCAACGGCTTGTGACAACGTGTAAATCACTACCACCATGGCATGGCAGCTTGCTTTCATTTGTGCTAGCGGTAGCCCATACCATCAGTTGTCATTGTGATGAAAACAAAATGTCAGCTGAAAACTTAGCAATCATCTTTGCGCCTACTTGCATACGGCTTGATGCTATCAGCCATCTCTTGCCAGATCATTCACCCTCTTTATCATCATCCATGAGCACCAAATCATTCTCATTTTCATCGCAATTGGGTGGCTCCAAATTGTTTCGAAAGGCATCCTTGAAGAGACGAAGCAGCAGTAAAAAACTAGGCAATCATACCGCCACATCCACCACATCACTACCATGTCAAGAAAGTCGATGGGGTGATATCTGCAAGTCGATCCTCTTACCAAGGCGAAACAATCACAAATCAAGGAACGACACTCATCAAGATGATCCAAAACGACCCGTACCACGCTATGAGCCGGAAAAATTAATGCAGCTGGATTTAGTCAAGGCACAAGCATGTTGGAGTCAATTGTTTGAATTGATGATCAATGATCCACCTTTTGAAACAACACACCAGCACATTGAGAACACCAATAGGCATTCGTCTCTTTATTCATCCTACATGAATGAAGCATTGACGAAACAACTGGAGGATCAAGATCAATCATCTACGCAAGATACGCCAAGCACAGTGTACTTTGACTCGTTGGATGAACAAGATCCTGCTGGGCGTACCATGTTGGATATTCTTGATGATACCATGGCCGCGTTGAGTGAAGACACAGCCGCATTCTTTGAAACAATGGTACCAAGTGAGAAAATATTATCGCATCGCAGCAAACGAAGTACACAATCCGATCAAGCATCCACGATATCAACTATGACAGGTGCCACTGCCAACACTACTGCTACTACTACAACGGCAGCACCTGCCACTGCTATAGTTGAAACGACTACTACCACTAATACTACTACCAACACGGCTACTGCTGCTGCTGTTGTCGATGGTGATCCACGTGACTCACCAAGATTTGCTGGTACTAAATATGAAGCTGTTTGGCAACATTGGCGAGAGCGTGAAGCAGCAGAGCGAGAACAGCAACTACAACAACCGCAACAACAACCAACACCTGGGCCTGCACCACCACGTTCAATGAAGCGAAGCAGTGGTATCCCACACCATGGAGGTGATTGGCTTAAAGCTTTGAGCCAACATCATTTTGCTGCCGATAAACAACGTCCTCTTTCACTCACTTTCATGCCAAGGTCACCTGCACAACAGAGACTCTCTGCATTTTTACGTTAGTTCTCATACATCCCATTCTCCTCTTCAACACATTTTATTCCCTACGCGCAGTTTGTAGAAGATACCATCATTTATGTTCATATCATTACACTTTATCTTGCAACATACTACTTCATGAAGCGAACGATTGGATAATACTGTCTCAAAGTATACATCACCTATGACAATGACCTCATCCTTTTGATGTATGAGTAACCTTTTTATGACTCAATAGTGAAAATGAAAGATAACAAAGAGCAGGTTTATTGTTAGATGGAATACTATCAAACAAGGTTTCTCAAGATGTGCGTATCATCATGCAATCGGCGGGAGGGAAATCGAATTGGGCCGCTGGGAGGTACACAAAGCTGACTTGATTTGGATGTGTGCTCACGTCGCGCTTTCCTCTCCTCTCCTCCTCATCTACCACCACCACCACTTCTACCATGGATGAAGATTCCGTTCTTTTTGGCATCCGTAATGCCTTTGCTCTCGGCAACTATCAGCTAGTTATCAATGAAGTCAGCTCATCGCGTGTCCTTCAGTCACCTGCTGGCAAATTCGAGGCCCAAACCCTTCTATACCGTTCCTACGTGGCCCAAGGAAAATACAATCTCGTCATCAATGACATTTCAGAGACCACAGCCGAGGCACCTCTCAAAGCAGTACGTCTTTTGGCTGTCTACTTGAATGCAAAGCAAAAGAACCAGACCGATGTATGCGAGACGACCATTCAACAAGCTATGCAACTCCTTGAAGAAGGTGCTAACCGAGTGGAACAAACGATCCAAGTAACGGTTGCCACGATCCTTGTACATGATGGTAAAACGGATGAAGCACTCAAGGTCCTTCACAACCGCACCAAAAAGTTGGAATGGTGAGGAAAATGCGTGATACTGGATGGAGGGTCGTTTTGGCTGATACATACATGTATGTAGTACCGCTTTGGCTGTTCAAATTTATCTGCAAATGGATCGTGTTGATCTTGCACGAAAGGAAGTGGCACATGCAAAGTCTTGGGCTGAAGATGCTCTTCTTTTGCAGTTGATGGAAGCTTGGGTTGGTTTGCGTGTGGTAAGTACGATGCCAATATGAGGATTCTACATGACAAGGTTTCTGATATGGGTTCATTAGGGTGGTGAAAAGTATCAAGAAGCATTTTACATCTTTGAGGAATTTGGACAGACCAACACAGAGCCATCTATCAAGGTTCTCAATGGTCAAGCAGCAGCAAACATTGCATTGGGTCGATACCCTGAAGCCGAAAGTGTTTTGATGGAAGCATTAAACAAGGTTGGTAACTACTAGGGATGGATACAGGATCACGGTATTGACACACGTTCTTTTGGAAAACAGAATAGCGATGATCCTGAAACGCTAGTCAACATGATTGTATGTGCCAACTTGACAGGCAAACCCATCGATGTGGTCAACCGATATATTAGGTAAGCAGGAGGGGTAGTAGAAAAGATCATTCTCATAGACCCTCTAACCTCTTTTTTCAATGTAGTCAACTTCGAGAAGCAGCCCCACAACATGCATTCCTTCAGGAAGTGGATCAGAAATCGAATCTCTTTGATCAAGCTGCAGCAAAGTTTGCCCTCGTAGATTCCTCATAAATGCAATAAATAATGTCCTTTGTGTTATAAACTCGTATATACATGATGTGCTTATCACCATTGACAAATCAACCATATGCTATCATCATTGGATGATACTGTGATGTCTCGTCGATATGGACAGACTGCACTGGATACTAAAATAGATGGTCGCTGCCATGGTTACCATGGTCGTTGAATGACGCAAAAGGGGGACATCTCTCCATTTATGCAAGATGGGAGGGGGAGATAAAGCGGAGGCCAGTGCATTCGAATCACTACACTCTTTATTCAACTCGACCTTTTTGTCCTGTAACAACAGCCCGCTCTCTTCTTATCACAATGGGTGCCGGCAATTCGAAAGCAAAGATTACGTCGCAGGACAAGGCCATTCTAGACCTCAAAATCCAACGAGACAAGTTGAAGCAGTATCAAAAAAAGGTGTGCTTTTATTCATTGGCTCCATGCTAGTCTCATCTACTTTGGACGCTAATGGGCATTGTAGATTAATATCGTGTTGGACAAAGAAGTGCAAGCCGCTAGAAACGCTCTACGTCAGGATGATAAGAAACGTGCTTTGCTCGCTCTCAAAAAGAAAAAGTACCAGGAGCAGCTTTTGGAAAAGACTGAGCAGCAGTTGCTGAATCTCGAGGAGCTGGTAAGATAAGGAAAAAAGGCACACACGCTATCCATTCAGTGTATTGACAAGATGTGAGTAGACCCAATCGATTGAATACGCTCTTGTGGAGAAACAAGTGTTGGAAGGTCTCAAAACAGGCAATTCGGTGCTCAAGGAAATCCACAAGGAGACTTCTATCGAGGCCGTAGAACGACTCATGGACGATACAGCAGATGCCATTGCCTATCAAAACGCAAGTATCAGTAAGCAAGGACCGCATTTGGTATTGTACTCATATTTCTTTTTGGTTTTGTAGGAGGTGGATGAACTTTTGAGCGGCAAGATTAGTAGCGAGGATGAAGAAGAAATCCTTCAAGAACTTGAGAGTCTTCAGCAACAAGAGGTAGGTCAAAGATTTATAGGCAATGATTGGATTCTCATATACAGCATCATCATCATCATCATCATCATCTCAAGCTCGAAGCAAACTTGCCTTCGGTACCTGAACAACCATTACCGGGAAAACAAGTGGAGTTACCCAAGGTACCTACGCATGAGCCAACTGCAGAAGAGGCGCCCAAAGGTGAGTCGAGTGAAAAGGAGCAGCAGGATCAAGCTTACCATGATTCTTCATTATTAGCAAAAGAAAAGAAGAAGGAAGCAGAGGCAATGCTTGCAAGTTAGACGTGATGTAAATATACCTTTAGCGTTTTTGTACAATGATATTAAACAGGAGTCAATTCTTATCAATGCATGGTTGTCCTTTGTATGCTATTACTACAATCCGAATTGGAGATAGCAAGCACCCTTCATCATGATAGCTGTTACAGTATTCATGTGCACAAGATCCATCAATGCATTTTCTTTATTAGAGGATGAGCACCAGCTAACCCTTATCATGGATGAGTCGTCTTAGCGCGAACAAGTGGTCACTTTCATGATCGCTGTGGCCAGTGACTTTTGGCAGGGACGTGTGACCCCAATTAGGAACTGGGATGGTTGTTGAGCAGCGACAGCAGTCGCTCTCATGTTGAGCTGTAGCCAGGCAGCCTCCCTCATCCATAAAAGGCAACCTCTTCACCTTATTTGTGCAAAGGAAGAGCTAGGTGCGAGTCGCTCTCAAGATGAGCTGTAGCCAAGGTGGCCACCCCTCGTCCACAAAAGGCAACCTCTTCACCTTATTTGTTAATACCAAAGGAAGACCACTACTCTGCAGCTATCCTTTTGAAATACTCATGGCTAACACGATCATCCACCTCCATCCAAATGGCACTCTAAATGAAGATAATCATATGTCAATCATTTGGAAAAAACCCAACATTTTGTTATAGCAAAGTCGCATCACTAGTTTTTTATTCTTTCTTCGCACAAATAAGGTGAAGAGGTTGCCTTTTGTGGACGAGGGATGGCCACCTTGGCTACAGCTCATCTTGAGAGCGACTCGCACCTAGCTCTTCCTTTGCACAAATAAGGTGAAGAGGTTGCCTTTTATGGATCGGGGAGGCTGCCTGGCTACAGCTCGATCTCTCTTGCTTAAATTCCTGGCGATAGCGATCATGAGAGCGAGTCTACCATCTCCAATGAACACGCCACTCTGCGGTCTTTTATTCCCCAGATCATCGGCCAAGTGGCGTCTCTGATGCGTATCGTTATACAAACTTGTGACTCCAATAAACGAAAAGACTACATGCACGCGTTTATCACACTCAGCCACGCACTACGCTTTTAACACCTATCTCATTTCTACAATCGCGACATGTATATGTATTATACGGGAGACACACACCCACGTTATACCCGTAAAAAGCCAAAGGAGCCAGCATTGATTGTGAGGGTCCCAGATGGTCGAAGAGTCATGGTGATTGGGGAGGGCGAAAAGCCTTATGTGAAGCGTATGGACAATGCTTATCAGCGTGCACGTAAATTATGGTAACTCATACACGACTGGATTCGAGCTTGCCACTGATGATGAGTGTATACTACAGGAAACTACGCCAAAAAGCAGCAAAAAATGCCGAAAAGAATGACAAGGATGCTTCAAAGACGATCAGCATGGAGTTGAAACCTATGGATAGTACCAAGATAGATGCAGAGCCAAAGCAGCAGCAGCAGCAGCCCGAACCACCTGTCAAGTGAACCTCTGCACCTCTCGTCTGAGAAAGGAAACCTCTTCGCCTTATTTGTTAATACGAAGCCGTGCAGCCATGTGGTGGATGTAGATGCCTCTTGTGTGTAAGCGTAGAAAGATTGGTAAAGAAGTCGTCTGCGAATGTGATAGATCTTGCCCACGTAACGTGCTATGCTTTCTTATTGTTGCTGCTGAATCCCATGCAAAAATGATCAATCCCCGTATACTACTAGCTTTCATTATGATGACATGTCTACCTGTGAGTATTAATAAAAAACATGATCCATTGCAATCCACTTCATCTGCTGGCACCATTTCCTAATGCCATGTTATATTATTTCAGCTGAAGCTGTCAACTGCTGCTGCGTGTATAACTGATCGAGCGATCAACATTTTCGGACATGCATCTCTTTCTCCGTCTTTGATCTTTCATGCCTCGTGTTACAAAAGAACGATCGACCAACACAACACCACGATCGCCCTACACCAACAATGTGGAGAAATCCAAGTCGACTGTCGACATTCCAAAGGACAATGCAGTGGCTGACAACCTTGATTACGATCTACTCGTCATGTTTATTGGTATCAACCCTGGTTTGACAAGTGCCGCTCGAGGACACCATTTTGCAGGTAAAAAGTCATATCATACTCTCTCTCTTTCATATAGCATGATCCATTGATTGTATATGTATAGGACCTACGAATCACTTTTGGCCATGTTTGTCGGGTAGTGGTAAGTGTCATTGGCGTGGAGATTATACCTCTTCAAGATTTCCCCCCGATATAACACAACAACATGATGATGGTTAGGCTTGGTGGATAAACCTTTGACCTACAAGGATGATGTCGATCTACCACGATTGTACCGATTAGGCTTTACCAATCTTTCAACAAGGACCAGTCGAAAACAATCCGATCTTACTTTGAGTGAACAGCAAGCTGGTATCCCCATCCTCACAACCAAGATTCGACAATATCGACCACGCGTAGCATGTTTCATTGGCAAAGGCATGTACGAGATTTATGCAGGTGAAAAGATCAGGAAAATGGGCGTACAACCAAGGAGGATACCATGGGAGAATGGCAAAGGCTCAACTCGGCTATTTGTGATGCCAAGTACCAGTGGGATTGTTTCCGCTTATCAGAAAGGCGACAAGTTAAAGTAAGTCCATTACGTGTATGTGTTTGATCCCTCTCAGCTGATGTCTCTATTATCCTAAGGTTCTTTCAAGAGCTCTGTCAAATAGCAAAGCAAGAGGATGAAAAGGTGGCGACTTCTTCAATACGTTAGACTGCTTTTACTACTACTATTAGTGCTAATAAATCGATATCCCACGAATGAGCTGCACGATTATCTGATCCCATTGTATGGATACCCAATAATGTCATGTGTGGAATGCAGCTGCTGCATCAAATGGCGGTACGCTGCTTGAGAGTGCATGGTTGTCGCTTGCAAATACCGACCATAGTCGAAGATCTTATATCATGATGGATCCTAAACACAAAAAATCAGAGCCCCAGCTGATGGCATTATCATGTTGTGCAACTATGTATCTTTTTTGCTGTAATCACGGCTATAGGGTGGGTTGATGATACAGCGACTATTAGTAGAGATGAAAAAGGATGACAGCTGTTACAATGTAAGTAATCGCTGGATGTATGAAAACGACCTTAAAGATCATGTTAAGTGTTTATTACTCTCTTGGTAAATGTACGTCTCGATATCATGTATAAGGGAACGTTGTCATGGATACCAACTTGTCTTGTGGCGGATCGATCTTCTTACTGCCTGCCGTTTATTTTGAAACCATATTTGGATTGATCTCGAAGTCATGCCCAGCTCAAAACCGAGTTCAGCCCGCAATGAACTTGTAGGAAAGGCTGTTTGTTCAAAGACCTGTTCAAGTATTTGAGTTTGCCATGGGCTTGCCCTTTTACGTTTTGCTTTGGCACGTCTTTGGAAGACACAAAAGGATGTCCATGGGGAGAAGGGTTTAGGCTTGTTTGCTATTGTTGTCGCTGAACCCTGCTGTTGGGTTGCCATGGCATTATTTGCAAGTTGCGAATATGCAACGTGGATTTTGGGCATTTCAAGTGGTGGTAGATGCAGGAACGGAAGCCCGCCATTTTCTTCTGTTGGAGGAGGAGAAAGTAAAGTCTCAATTCGAAGTTTATCATGTCTTGTCGTGGTAGCCATTTTGGTGGAATTCGCCCGAAAACGACCTATTAGCAATAGCAGCAGCAGAGAATAAAAAAGATGTTTGTAAACTAACCTGATGCACTTTTGGTTTATAATAATGGTTGATGAGAATAACTTCCCTTTCAAAATGATGTCCGTGTATACATTACCCGAATCTTTAGGGCTGCATTGACATGAAGAGTACATATATAAACCACGATCCCATTATTGGTGGCAGCCAATTCAATGCCAATGCATATCGATTCTCGTTGATACTACTACTATTGATATTTCGGGTTGTTATTGCTCAATAGGATAGTTTATCATTCACCGATATCTTATCTGTTATCAAGTAAGCCTATGCAACATTCATGCAGCATGATATCGGTTTATTTACAATGGTTTTAAAGTTGGCTATTACAATCGTTCTGAATCGAAAATGAATACAAGAATACCATACGGCACAATAGCGGTTTAACATTTGCATGGAAGCACCATTGTGTTATAGAATTATCTCGAAATACCTTTTTCGGAAGTGCTGCAAGAATGGCAACCAAGCAACCAAACCATTATCGTGATAGCCGTATCGATGATCATTACATATAACAAAAGTGGGTATTTTATTTGATAAAGATGTGTGTGTGTGTGTGTGTGTGTGTGTGTTATGTGTATCATGAGCCAAACATTGAACCAATTAACTTTGAAGCCATTCCAGCGCCTGCGCCTGCAGAAGGATGACCACCAGCACCAGCTGCCATGTCATGTTCTGGACGTACAACAAATTGACTGTCATGTGTGGGAATGTATTGGACATCGAGTATTTCAGGCCGACCGGATAAAAGTGACCGAAAATGATAAGCAATCATGTTGCGAGGACAAAGATGAATGGTACCAGAGAGCTTTTCTTCCCTATCGAGACTAATGGTAGAGGATGGCAGATGACCAGCACCCATGTCGATCATGCGGTGTAACTTGCGTTGATTGTTGACGCTGAAAGGAGCCCATACGTTGCCACCACCACCACCTTCTTCATCGCCTCCACCGCCTTGATGCATCATCATCATATTCCTTGGGCGATAACACCAAATGCCAGGGAAGCGTTGTAATTGTTGTGCCTTGTTGGAAATCTTGCTGCTGCTTTTACGAGAAAGACCACTTCCAAAGGATCGCATGGATGAAGGAGATTCACCATGGTTTGGACCAGCACCACCACCAAGTGACATATGACCCAATGCATCTTCCAAGGGAACCATGCTATTCCGATCCCACATGTGTCGATCCATCATGGCAGCTTTTGAACCTTCTCCACCACTACCACCACCAAAGAGACCACCAAGCCATGATTTTCTTCGCATAGGAGGTCGACCCCCCATCATCATAGGATGTTGTGCATGAGGAGGGGGCATCATGGATCCACCACCAGGGCCATTGTTTCCCATCATGGATGAAGGAGGCATCATAGGTCCGCCATTATGATTACCTTGTTGACCACTTTCAGGATGATGATGATGATGTCCCATTGCTGAATTAGCTCTTGAACTTGAAGGAGGTCCACCACCCATATCGAAATCACCAGCACCATTCATATCACGATCATTCATCATACGTTGATTGCCATTGTGCATTGAATCCATGGGACCGCCACCACCACCACCACCGCCATTAGGATGATGCATAGAGGATGGACCGCCACCATTTCCAAAAGCGCCTTGTTGTCCCATCATAGTATCACCCATCATCATTGGACCACCACCACCACCACCAAACATTGGATTCATGCCACCGCCACCGCCAAGAGAAAGAGGAGGAAATCCATCAGCACCACCACCACCGCCCATATCATCAAGCATGCCTGGTAAACCATTACCACCACCAGGACCACCAGGACCCATCATGGACATCATTGACATGGGTGGTGGAGGTCTACCCATCATGAATGGATTCATTGGAGGACCAAATGTTGATGGTAACATGCCCATTCCACCTTGTGCTGGTGGTGGTCCTGACATCATGGGTGGTTGTGTATGAGGTGCAGGTGGCATAGCAGGACTTGAAAAATAAGATGCTGGCATCCAAGGTGTACCTGGTGCACTACTATTGTTGCTTGGTACTTCATCACCTAGATCAGGACGTAATCCCATAGCTGCCAAAGGTGGTGGTGGTGGTGGTGGTGCTGCCATTGGAGGATGTAATGGTTGAGGTGGTGAAAACATGTCATTATTACCAGCAGCAGCACCCAATGAATCATACACTGAATGACGTCTTCCCAACATGGACATTGGTGGTGGTGGTGGATGAGGTGGATGAGGTGTCATGGAAGGAACAATATGAATAGAACGTCGACGTGGAATAGGATGAGGACGATGATGATGATGATGATCTTCTTCTTGATGAGAGAGAGCATCATGGAATTGATCTTCCATCGTGGGTGAATAAAGTTCCACAGGTGATCCAGGCGCACTCATGGCATGGGGTCTCTCGTGTGGCAATGGCTCGTGCTGTTGTGTACTCCGACGTGCACCTGGTGACGATGACACTGAGCTTGTTCGATGCAATGACGGATGTCGTTTCCGAAATACCCGACTACTATTGCTATTGTTTCTATGCAACGTCTCCGTGGTGGTTGTTGCTGGTATTCTTGATTTACGTGCTGGCAATGATCGTGATCGTTTGGGTCGTCGTTGTTGTGCCATGTCAGGATGATCCATAAATGGGATGGGTGGTGGTAATGGGCCCAAGCGCGGTAAAGGAGGTAAGAAACCAGGAGGTGGTACATGTTCATCCAAGAAAGGAGGTACTGGTGCCACGGGTCGTCGATTATTGTAATCATCATCATCATCATCATCCGATATAGCTTCTCGATCGTCATTTCGGTCATCATCTTCCAAAAAGTATTCATCGGGTGGTGGTAATGGTGGTGGATGCATCATATTGAAAGGAGGAGGACCAAATGGATGTGGTGGCGGTGGATGATGATGATGAGGACCCATCATAGGGCCAAATCCTGCAAATGGTGGTGGTGGTGGTGGTAAACGACCCATCTCATCTAGATGTAACATGGCTTCTTCTTCATATGGATCAAATTCATCAGGACCATAAAATCCATCATGACCCACAAGATGAGGTGGAGGTGGTGGAAATGGAAATGGTAGAAATGGATATCCAAAGTCATCATCATCGCCATCATCATTCATAGCCTCATGATCTGCGTGCCATGCTGCTGCTGCTGCTGCTTGTTGTTGTTGACGACGAGAAGGTTGACGATGTACATTACTGCGCACAGATTGTTTGTGTCCTCGTCTTTTACTTTTACGATGTCGTCGTGGTGATGATTGTTGCTGGTACTCATATGGGTCGCTTGATACTCCATCATCCTGCTGCTGCGATAGGCTGCGTGGATAGCGTCGTCGAGGTCTAACATATTCGTTGGCACTGTCGTAACCTGACATTGCTTGCAATGAGGAGAAGGTGAGAAAGAAGAAAAGGAATGGCAAACCGAATGAGCTGATTCTCTACCTTATCCTTTGTCAACAACGCCTGCCCAAGTCATGTTCATGGTCATGGGTTACAAACAGGACACCATAATCGGAAAGAGCCGACTACCGGATTGCTGCTTTTGGCTTGCTGATTTACTATCACAAAGGACATCTTCCCCCACCCCTTAGTCTGCCACTCAAATGGTCAATCAATTATAGAAAGTCATAGCATAGATACCTGTAAACTTGATAGCCACTCCCATTCATTAAAAGAAAAAATAGACATTGTCAAGTAAAAAAAAGTGGGTATCATGATGAAACATGTACTCCTGTTGTTCTGGACCTTTTGTTCATTATTGTGTTCTTTGTGCACGGGATCTTTCTTACACGGCCCTCTTCCGAAAGTTTATCTTGCACAACACAAAGGCCCCTATCCGTTCTTTCAAGAACTCGTGGATAACCGTAAAGTGTCCGTGCATTCTTCCAAAGATGTATCCTCTTCTTCTACTACTATTCTTCAAACCATCTCGTTTATCAAGATCCGCCACAAATGCATATCATCAAGTAGTTGTATTCAAGGGTCCTGTACCATGGATCAGGCACTTGCAGCAAATTACAACATCTTGTATCACGGCTCTTCGGATTTAATTTCTCTCAATGATGGAATCTCACCTGATCATAGAAAAGATGATGATGATGATAGAGCAAAAGTAACGTTGACCTGATCACGTTATGTGTTACTCCCCAAGTATGGTTGTAACCCGACATTCTTTGGCATAACCCGAAATTATAGTAGGCTGTCCTTGAACCACAATGCCGACCCTCCTTTAATTAGCAGTAATAGGTCATGGACAAGGATACATTTATTTTCTAATCATAAGAACGTGCCGTGATTTCTTATGCATCACCCCGATGTATGTTAATGAAGGGATTCATGGAGGGTAAGTTTGACGATCACTAGTAGCTTATCGAGATAATTTGGATTGCCTTTGCTAGGGAAGGTTGTACACGCTCTTTTCTAATCCACATGCCGTATTGATTAAGTCGAGTGAACAGGTATACATCCAATTCAAAATAAAAGTTGCCTGCGTGGATGGGTATCTCACACCAAAGAAGATGCACCGGTTGTCTCAGGTACCTCCTTTTTACAATGGTCAAATCACCAACCTTATATAAATCACGTGTCCCGCTGATTCCGGACTTGGAGGCATCTCTTCTTCCCACTTGGCTTTTTCTTATACGTTTACCTTTCCCACCCGCCTCCTCCTAATCAACTTCGATCGTCATTGACAACAGCATTCGTTCTCGAACTCCTCTCCATGGTCAACTACATTTCTTCAAAGTCGTCATCGTTACGCATTTCAACGCAAGAAAACAGTCCATCTCTGCACAGCTCCTTTCCAGTCATTCGCCCCACACTTTTGACATTTCCTTAGATGGACATCAGCTGCAACGGTAGCCTACAACGCCAGCAGTTTATGCTCTTCGAATACATATGAAGTTATAGCACGAAAGCTTTATGGCGACAAATGCAGTATCTGTTCATGCAGCAGCAATTGGATCGGCATTTGGCAGCTTGCATTAATGGTACCACGTTTACTATGGCTCGTGTTCCATCATGCTAAGATCACTATTTCTCTTGATGGTAGGTGGATTTATCAGTGGTTGATGTATCACCCTCGATCATCCTTCGACCTTGGTATGCAAAGGTGCTTGATTCATCAGCTCAATTCATCACGATCTCCTTTTCTTGCATGGGCAACAATTCAATTACCACGACCATCCATGTATGAACAAGGCTATTATCACCAGCATTTCTCTCTGCTATACGTCATGCAATCCAGCAAGCCCATCCCTGTTTTAGTGAGCAAGTCAGGGCCTATTTCAAGGAGCATCAACAAGGGCGCTAGATCCACATGTGTCTCCATCCTCGCTCGGTATGTGTCAACGATAGTTTCTTGGTTGCTCATGGAGGATGATTATCTAACGTGGGTCTTATAGTTGCTTATTATTACTGGTTTTCCCATGTCGTCATTGTACTTGATCATTGATCCCGTTTCCTTTGATGGTGTGGTACGTGTGATGATGCGTTTATATACTGTGCTCTTTACTTACACATTGCTATGTCTTTGATTAGTGAGTTGCCTTTGACTTATGCTACCGCTGGTGCACGCCTTCAGCTCACTTCTTCAACACCCACCATGGATGCGTACCAATCTTTAACTCCAGCTCTAAAGTCGCCAAGTGGATTGTGCATTGACAATGTGAAAATGCCGTTTTGGGTTCATGCAACCAATCTTCAGCCTCAAAGAAACAATAGGACAGGATGATATGGATCAACATTGATGGGATCAAGATTCAGCCTTTTGCTCTGATGATATCAAAGATGTGGCCCGTTTTCATCTGACGAGTTTATACTACGATTCACACATTGTCCTCCCCACCCGGGTATTCATTGAAGCTACACATAGACATTTGTATAAGTGCAATTAGTAATAAACTTTCCATGAGCAGAAAGTGTGGATGGTTGGTTCCTGTCGTCTTACTTTGGTTCATCGCTTCTATTAGACATTGCATCTTTATCTGATTATAGAGTCAAAAAGGGATCATAAATACACATTACATTTAAAGCATGCAGCAAAAAGTCGTTATACTTTGGTTTTCCTCTTTGCATTGTTGACATATTATCACTGCCTATACCCTTTACTTATGGTAATCGTTTGATCGTTTTCAAAAAAAGAAAATCTCGACTACAAGTCTTCCAATTGATCGTGCAACGTGACACAAAAAATTAATCGTGACTCAAAAGAGGAACTGAAGCTCAGATGTTGAGCTCGTATTCGAATTCAGGTCTTGCCGAGAATCGAACTCGGATAACAGGATTCAAAGTCCTGTATGATAACCATTACATCACAAGACCTTCTTGTCTGACACGGCGCGTGGTGGTATAAGTACTGGTGGCCTGCCTGGTTTGGAAAGTCGTCGTATGGTGATGAAAGAAGTATCATGGTGTAGCGGAGTAGCCATGGATACCATTATTGAAGACGCCATCTTGTTTGGGAGGATCGTTGTGGAGCAATTTGGAGTTGAAGTTGAAGAAGTGAGTGATTGGTCGGAGTGAAGTGGTAGCCTGCGGACCCTTAGCGGCACCCTTCATCTCTTTACAACTACGACATGGCCAATCCTCTTTATTAGAATGAGACATTGTTGTTGTGA